TTATGGAACTGAAGTAGATAGTCATCAGTGCATGTAGACCTGATTGGTCGCATGGACAATGCAGAGTTAATGACTCGCATCTGAATGATTATTTTGAAGATAGTCGTCCTATTTTATATTTCTAACAGCTTACGTACTAGTACTAGGGCATTCAAATCAGTCTGTCCTTTGCTAGCCAACACCTGCAGCAATTGCTCATTCTTCTCAATTGCTTTGGATTTTGCAGACTCCAATTGGGCCTAAAAGAGTTTCACTGATGTTTTTGGGCTGACAGTTGTTACTAGCTGTTGGCCCCCAATCCCCCTATGCACAAGTGCTGGTTTCCTCCTCCATTCGGCCATCTTGTTGCCTTCCAGGGTGTGTTGGGTGGGAAAGACACTAGTGTCCAATGTGATCAACAAGAACATTGGTCAGGCGTTGCATCAAAGGCTCGGACCGGGTGTAAAGATTTAAAAAACTTCATAGTTTGATGTGACTAGTAGTCAGGATATTGCCTTTGAGAAGTGCGGTAGCCCTGGTGCACCGATTGTGGGGGGTCGATCAACCTCCATGGCGAGAGCAACTTCTCTCAAATATTTTGTCATCATTTGATCTGTGATATTGCAAGCGACTCCAAACTTGGAGTAGTAGGTGAACAATGGAGTGTCTCCAGTTGTGTGTTGACTCTATGGAAGGTGCCGGACAATGGCAATCAGCGTTGCTGTTGGGTTGTCACCGTTAAATGACATGCCCAAATTTTCATCTTTTTGTCTTGCACCGCATTTTTGCTTGTCAAATATCAGACGGGCAAATGTTGCAAGTGACGCATCCAGGAGGCAAAGTGGGATGACGTCGCCACGGAATTCTGCTTCGTTGATACAAAAAAACACTTTCCTCAACTTGAAAGGAAATTGCATTCCTGCTTTTGACAGAAATTTGCCAGGTTGTAACAAAACAAAAAAACCCAGCCACATCAATTGATTCATAGCCTTTGCGGTATTGGTACTGGAGGGATTTTTGGCGAGCTTTGGCGCTTACTGTAACAAGGCCTTTGGCAATGGGCAAACTCGTTGCGCTGCTGGATCCATCTTCTTCCAATTTTTCAGAAGCGGTGGTGCATATCAATTCATCCTCGGATCAAGCAGCCCCAATGAGGAAAAGGCCTGGCCAACCTGGCTACCTCGCTTCCCAAACCATGGTCTTTGGTTCTCTTGATAGAAACAAGATGTAATTTTCATCTTGATAGAAACAAGATGTAACATCACTGAACAATAATGGCCATTGCATGCATTGTTCCTTTCACCTTTGTTGCAGAATCCACAAGTCAAACATTTGCATTGATGTTGTGACACGGCCCAAAGGTGAGGCATGAAATCAGGGTTTTAACAGGTTTTTTGTGCATTCACCCTTTCCAAATACTCCATTGTTTGCTTGCCTTGGTATACATCAGCAATGATGCCCTGGGCTCAAATCCAATTGCCCTGCCCTTTCAACATCTTCACATCATCCAATCAAGCCAATTCCAATATTTCTGAACCTGTGAGTGACTTGACTAAGTCAAGGGTTGCGGTGATGGAGATGGATCCCTCGCTTGTGAATCTGCATTTGCCTCCATGCTCCTTTGCGTTCATGCATCTTTGATCTGCCCTGTCTATTATCCATTTTGTTTTTGGCACTATTGATGTAGAGATACATTGTGGATATCTACAGTTCCCATGCCATGACCATTGCAAATTTTCACAACTTTGTTCCCATATGCATATCTTTGTGTATTTGTAGGTGAGCTGAGAAATATCATCAGCGCTTCTAACACAGCATGGGGAACTCTTGTCTGACTGATCTTTTCCTTGACCACAGGCTGGTGTTCTCCAAGCCAGCATGCATGAATCTTGATCTTTGTCCACTTGTCACTGGAAATTGATAGCCCTGTTGCTTCCTCAGCAATCGCTCTTGAATGCCCTTTGTTGGCAAGAGCCGCTAGCATTGGCTTTCTATTGTGGGGTGTTTTGCCTTTCTGAACTTTTTTGAATCCAATTGATCCCAAATCTTTCTGGACAGCTCTAACTTTTTCATCTCAAGATTGTTCCTGCTTCTACTGTCCTCGCTTCTTCTTCAAGGGCACCCTCCTGGCATCTTGAGAGGCGGAGAAGAGATTGGTTTTTGGAAACCGGGTTGGCAAAGCTTGCCCTTTGTCTTCTCCATTCCATCTCCATTTGGCTACAACAGTGCCATTCTCAGTGATTTGTGCGGTAGTACTAGAAACAGCTTGGGCCATGAACATAATCTTGTCCAATGAAGCTGCTGCCTTGCCACATTGCTTCTTGGGAGGCGTTTGGGGAAGATCTGGATGCCATGCCAAAGGTGAGTTCTTGTTCGTCCTTGTGGATGATTCAATTGAAGTTGCTTTGTCTGGTCATCTAGAGCCTGTAGCAAAACGCTGATCTTATTAATTAATAAGTGCGGCATTTGCTTTCTGGTCAGGAGTTGATTCTGGAGTTGCTCCAACTACCATTTTTGTTGCAGCAACTTCCGTTTTTGCTGCTGTGTCCATCATTTTTGATACTGCAGATTTAGAAGTCCCACCCCTTGACAGCGTCACTTTTGGTGCCTTAATGTTTGGCTTGAATTGATGATTAAATCAGAAAACTGAGTTCAGCAAATTTCCATTTGGACTATCCCTTGTTTACAGAACTCAATCCAACTTCTACAAGGATCCGTAGTACTTTGGGACATCTTGTAATATTCCCTACTGCATTGTACACAACATCAATATTCCACTTGTATAGGGTCATTCCCTTTCTGATTGTCTGGCAGAATTGGGTCAAATGCTGACATCACAATCAAAATCCGATCATGCGTGTCAAAACTTTGTAGTTGAATAGTTTTTCAAGGAACATAAAAACTCATATTCTGTCATATCCCATCAAATACCCCTTCTACACAACCACTTAGTCCAGTCTGTACAGGACCATGAGGTCAAGAGATAGGATAAGGAATCTAGGACAAAAAAGGGATACCAACACCTGCAACTGTCACTGACTACAACAAGTATATACTTTTGGAGTTGATGCCAAGGATAGGGATATGGCTGATTGGAGTGTATTGCTGAAGTCAAATCACTGGTATTACAGGATATACTATTGGATTTTTGACAGTGTCATTCATGCAATGTGGGTGCTGGTGAAGGCAAGGCTCAAGCGGATGACAAAGGAAGACTTGGAAGTCTTTTGCAAACAATGATTTTAGTTCCAGGTGACTCTTGGAATTCTGTTGATGAAGAGAGGACTTGAGAGACCCAAATGGCCTCAGTTTCCTTGCAAATGCCCAGACAGTGGAGTCCAGTGCTTCTTCTGCTATTATGGGCACACCAATGGCATTGAGTAACAGAAGGCAAATTTTGAAGTGAGGATGCATGTGTATGACCGTGTAGACCTCAGGAGGAACCCACAATACTGCAACCGCTGCTATCATAACCCCAAGAAGAAGTATCTAGGCATAACTGCAAGAAAGCAGTATTTACATCCTGAATGTAAGAAGACAAGATTGGGATATCCTGGGTGTAACCATTGGAATGGTCAGCATCATGTCTGCAAGTACGCTGGAAGACATACAAACATGACAATGAAACAATGATGTGTTGGGCATTGATGAAAATGTCGGTTGCATGGAAAAAAAAGGGGAAAAATGGATTTCACGTAGAATCAGTACAAATGCTACGTAGAATCAATACAAATTTGCAAATGTATTGATTTGTATTGTCTGATCAGGAAACGCTTAAAACTGTATTTTCGGCAATTGTTTTGCAAGAAAAATAGAATGCTGAGTCAAAGCTAGGCAAATTCATTAGCCCCCTTGTCGTTGGCGGACTAGCAAGGCTTGACACAAGATAAGGCTGACACAAGATTATTTGACTGAGTTGTTTTACGGTTGACGGCCTATAGCTAGTCAGCCAACAGCAGCTGTTGAAACATTGAGGCTAGCGTGAGGTCTGCGGGCTTTTTGTTTGCATTATTAGGCTAATCTTACACTACCTAGTAAAGATCTCTAAGACTCTTAGTCTAGTCTTCAGTTGTCTGGCATAACATTGATTGTAGTATCATTGTATCGTGAACCTTAGAAAAGTTGTCAACAAATATAACTTGCTTTAGTTGGAATTAGAGTTTTGAATGACCAAGTCAAAGCTCATGCTTTTCCTTGGTCCTCCCAAAACATTTGAATCCTTCATCGTTGTATGATTGGTTCCGCTTTGCTCCACAGTTGATGATTGACGGTTTAGGCTTGTTTCCAAAATGTGATTTTGTCTCCCTCCTCTTCCTTGGCAGTTCCTCCATTCTCAGTGAAATATTATTCCACTTGGTGGCACATCCCCTGAAGCATCACCAGGTTCTGGTTTGGGAAACAAATGATGATTATACGGATTCTGCAATACCAAACGGAACATTTTGTCATGCCATTCATCTTCATCCATAAAATCAAGACTCGAATTGCCAAAGCCCAATTGCATTAACTTTTGTGCAACAGCGTTTCATTGTCCTTTGCTTTGTTTATCTGTTGTATTTGCACTTTTTAATGCTCCGCTGGATCTATTGTTTAAATCATGTTCCACATGATGGACATCATCCAAATTACTACTTTCAGCATTGTCACTATTGCCTCCTGCGCTCCTACCACTCTGAGTAGACTGCTCTTCTTCCTGGATACTGCCAAGAAAACTAGCCCAAGATCCTCTTGTAAGGAAGGACTCTGGCATGGACAAATTTTCCTTTGGCTCCTCCAAGAAATGCTTGATAAGGTATACTGCTTCCGAACGCTTTGCCTTGTATCGCATGAGTTTTTTGGTGCCTTCAAGAAACCAATAAAAGCGCCAGCAGTCATTCAGATCTGTCATCAGTGTCAGAACTCCAGTCTTGCTATTCAATCTGGATGCTGCAGCACAACCTGCTTTTGAATCATTTCATCTGTTGTGTTTTTCAACTCAATACCCATTAGAATATCTTTTTGTTGTTGTTGAAATGTCCTGATTTTTGTTGGCTGCAACAACAACATCAATGTTTCCTTTCACTCGCAGCCCTAACGGTGGGGAGAGATCTGTGTTCAGTAGGTCCTTTGCAGCAGAGCCTTCGAATAGCTTGACCAACTGCGGACATTCCAGCTCGTTGAGATATCTCATATATTCCTTGCAACTAAATTTGCTATCTTCTTTCCTGGCATCCCACTGGTACGCCTTGTTGTACAAATCAAACGCTGGCTTGTTGTGCAAGGAGGTCGATAGCCAATTTGGCAAGGATGTTGCCGTATTTTTGGGAGCTCATGTTTGAGAACCCAACTGTGTTTTCTTTGTCTATCTTTTGTTGCAAAAAAGGTTGGAATTGTTGCAAGGGACAGTTGTTGTGCTTCAAATTGAAGATTCAAACACATAAGACATGGAATGGATGGACGTTTGTTTGCAAAACAGTCAATGGCGGCAACAAGATGAGAGATGCTTGTCGATAAACAAGCAAGCAGACGTGCTTGCATACTGCCGTATCACTTGCATTGTATCAGTGGGAGAGCTTGAAGGGGGGGGGGGTTGAGCTTTCAGTGTTGCAACAACTTCATTGAAAGTCAATGACGAACTAAGTCGCTGTTTTGTCAAGGCGGCATATGATGAATTGTTGGCAGGTTATCTGTTTCTTGAGGCTGACAAAGCAATTGAATTTGTGTCAAACTCAATTTCTGAAAAATCTCCTCCTTCTAATTCACCCCATGTAGAAATACCTGCCAAATCTAGAAAGTCTTTCACTTCTGTCTGTTTTGCAGCGTTGTGGTTGGCCCATACTAAACAGCTAATGATTTGGATGTCGTCGTCCGAGAAGTGCTGGTTTTATGAGGCTATTAGTAGGACTCATCTATGAGCTTAGATGTATGGTATGAGCAAACTTTAAGATTGGATATGCATGCACCGCACGACGTCCAGCGCATACGTCCGCCCCAAATCTGTCCGTTTTTTGAGAATATAAGTAATATGTCCGTTAAAATGCTGCTCAAATCAATCGGACGCGCGATTGATGCAATTTGCGCGGGTTTGACTGTCATTGAGGCAGGAAGAAGTGGAATGGGCAAGGATACAACCACAAACACTTGGGAAGTTCCTTGAATCCCCTTGTCCTCTAGTGAAATACTAATCCTGAGATGTTGCTTGTTTTGGTCGGAAATCCTTGTCCCTTTGGCATAAACATGAAGGTCTCCTTCCCTGAAGGATTTTAATGTTCCCTTCTTGCTACTTTTTAAAAAAACACGCGTACAGGCGGTGGGTGCTGCAAAAAAACCGAAATGCACTGCACGCAGGACGCGAAACGTGGTTTGATAACTTCCCGCCACATAGAAGACGGCAGGGGCCACTTATTATTTGTAAACCCTCCATTCAACATACTTATATTGTACCGGGATATGGCTCTTAGTATATATGCGATGCACTTTTTGGGTTTTCTCACTATGTTTAAGCCTAGCAGTACAATACTGGTATTGGTAAGAAACGGGACAGCGGTAGCAGGCAGACGGGATTATGGGCAGGAGAGCTCTCGTGGGAGACGTACGTGATGTCACTAAATGAAGGATTTTCTACCTGTCCTGGAAACTGTTGGTAACCTACCGTACGTTTGGAATTTAACAAAAGCAGAATCGGCAAGTGCAAAGGATCTATGAGAAAATCGACTTTTCCAATAATTCTTCTTCCACGCCACAAGAAATATTATTGTCTGTGGCGTGGGCTATTCAGTTTTTAGACTATTACTATATCTCAGGAGGAGATCCCAAATCTAAGGTCGAAGGTTACCGTTTGCCTAAGTAATTTATATTATCTTCATGACCGTATGCTCGGCACGCGCACTATTTTTCCGCCCTCAATTTCTTTCCCGTACATTGTACATACACAAGATATTAAGTACTAAGTCTACGTGAAATACCAATTTCCAGGCTCTGAATCAAAATTGCAAATTCTCCGGAGCCACCGTCCACACCAAGATGACTGCCATAACAAGGCAATATACATATAGTCCAGATGCCAAAGAAGGCCAGGTCCAAGAACTTAGCAAGGAGGAGGAAATGTTCCGGATCAAAAGAAGGTGGTGAACCAGCAAAAAAGAAGAAAAAAGAACAAGGTGTCCTGAAACCACCACAAAAAATGAGTTCAACCATCCATGAACAACCGCCGCTCGAAGAGCCAAGTGACCTAGCGACAACAGCAGTACAGGAAGATGGTGCCCCTGTCAATGAATTGGAATTTGAGGATGTTGCCTTAGGAGATATTCCTCCAAAGGGTCTACTTGATAATCCCAATATCAGACGTAAGCAAATCAAATCCAAGAGGATCTGCATCGAATATATTTTCATCAATGTTCATCCTGCTCCCCCAAGGGAGGAATGGTCTGGCAAAAACGGAGTTTCTGCTCAAATCAAGAAAGCCCTAGCAATTCCTGAAGGGACTTGTATCAAGAAAGAACTAGAAGATATTATGACTTGCCTGGAACAAGGTATTGAGTACGACCCTTCTGTGAGGCCTGGTCGGGGTTGCCAAGCAGTGGTCAAGCGTGGCTCTGTAGTGGAGCAAACAATTGCAAACCTGGTGGAGACTGGCTCATCAATTGAGGAAGCAACAAATCTATTGAATGAAGAATTGAAAGAGGAACATGCCACCAACAACTGCGATTCACCTCTTGTTCTATACAGTGTCTCGTCTGTGTACACTTGCATAAAAAGCCTGAAGCCAAACATATCAAAGATTAAATTACGCAGTCAATGACGGGTAGACGAGAATTCTCCTTGGGCACAAGCAAGATTGGGATGGGCAACACAACTACTGATAAAACTTGGTCTACTGGAGGAGGATCTGACCAAGGATTACTACACAAAAGTTTAGAGATCTCACAAATCGTCTTCTGGGATGAAACTCATACCAAGTGTGTCATTGGAGCAGGTGCAGGAAGAGATTTTGTGTTTGTATTCCCAAGAGATAGCAATGGAAATCTGAATCCAGATGGCGGGACCTACACTGACACAAAATTCAAGCGTCTGAAAGTGAAGTATGAGAAGGAAGTCCGTTTGTGTCTTGGGTGTGCTGCAGTGCAGATCAATGGCCAAGATGAATATGTTGGCAAGAGGTGTGTACCCTTTGACTACTCTGGGAAGACAATACTATCCATCAGTGACTACAAATCAAAATGCCAGGCTGAGATTCAAAGGGTAAGAGCGCTGAAAGGTGAAGTTCCTCCTTGGTACTTGAAAACTCGAGTCAAGGACAAGTGCTATCGCAATGACACTGTCAGGATTGGTTTGAAACGTGTTGGTAAAGTACTCCAGGAGCAATTTCAAATGATCAACATATTCACCATCCAAGATCTGATCAAAACTGAAGGATCATTTGCTGATCGTCGCAATCCTTGTCCTCCTGGCTGCAAGTTGAGGGTGATGGCAAAGAGGTAGTTGATCACAGAAAGGCAGAAAACCTATATGAGTCTAGGTATGGGCAAGGTTGGGAGGAAGAACTCAGAAAGGTTTTGCACAGAAATGGCTCTGTTTCTGTTGCTCATCTGGTAGACCATATTGTTCATGAGTCTGCTCAAACAATGAAAGGGACAAAGAATGACAATGATTGGAGGTTCTACCATGATGCCCTTACGCTAATGACATCCGCTGATCTCATTGATTACATGAAGGCCAAAGCAATATATCACAGATGGATCCTCCCACCGGGACAGGGACTATTTGAAGATGACACAGCCCTTAGAAATTTCCGGGGGCGACCTCCTGGTGACTCTCCGGAGTTGATGCCCTGGGATAACAACTTGAATCAAGATGCCCATGTTTCGGTTGAAAGGCATGTGGGAATCACTTCTGTTTATGAAAAGGGTGACCCAAGGAAATTTTCCAAATCAACTCCCAATGAGGGTGCTCGTGCCTACAAAAGGGTTCTCCATCCAACAGAAGGTGTTGCGCCCACTCCAAAAAGAATAGTTCAAGACTGTATGCTTTGGCTTCAGGCTTTGGAGGAAATTAGAAAAAGTAAAGGTACATTGAATGACTTTGCAAAACGACGGGGAACACGAGGTGAGTTCTCAGCTGAGGAACGCGCAGAGATGATTCGTACGGGAAGCCGCCAAAGAGGAGGCCGGAGGGAAAAGGGATCTGGATTTAGGAAATGTTTGGTTCTGCATCATGATGCCAAACCAGCAGCAAAGATCAAGATTGAAGAAGCAAGCAAGACTTGTGAGCAACAGAGGCTCCCAGGAGTAGATAGTGAAACTCAGGTGCCAATTCAACACAATTGATAGTAATAGCTCTACTAGTTATAGAAGCATTAGTGGTTAATAAGATTTTAACTGCCTTTGGTACCATGGTGAGCCATAGCTTTTCTCAAAATTGAAAAAAACGATGAAGCAAGAATCCGGATTGGTCTGTCTGTTGTCAGTAAAATGTGAGCGAAAAATATCGAATTTTTTATTCAAATCGTTGATGCGACACATTTGGCACGTGCGCAACTCTAAGTCCTCCGGATAATACATACCGCAGCATTGAACACTAATAAAGTTCCCACCAACTCACCAAATATGGAGCCAGCCTTGCCTATTTCAAACAAGATCGGAAAGCCTGCCAATCAGAAAATGCTTCTCCAGCTTGTGACAAGTCAAACATCGTAAAAACACAAGTCCATCGATTTTTAGAAGGAAACGTGCTGCAGTGAAAACACAAGTCCATCGATTTTTAGAGGGAAACGTGCTGCAGTTACCCTGTATATGAAAAACATGCATGAGGATATTCGCAGTCGCTAATTCAATGATAGCAGTAAGAAAAAGGAGAGGGGAAAGATAATAGTAATCAATGGTCTAGACTAGAGCTTATTCAGTTTCCTTCATCTATTCGTCAAGTAAATTTGTCTTGATAAATTTGTGTTTTGAATTCACAGTCGTAACTAAATGTCTTGATGTCACCGTCGTAACCCAATAACACGGATGAAACGGAAGAGAGTTCTCTGCTATCCTTGTTGAACCCAAAGGTTCTGTTTCGAGAAGTGTTCGCAGAGGGCGACCCGATCCATCGTTTTGGTGGGCTGGATGATTGGATCTCATCGGGTATTTCCCGTGGTCTTGCGAAGTGCAGTCTCTGGAGACTCCTAGATCATCACCACCACTACATCCATCGGATTAGAATAAAGCATCATCTATTCATTCTCATAGTGTGCATCATGCCATAATGACGCTCATTGGCAGATCGGAAAAACAATGATGGATCACAACAAATGACCAAATGACGAGAACAATTTTAAATTGAACTTTATCAAATACCGCGAGTGACTATTCAGGTCTATATAATATATAGAAAGTAAGCCTGAATCCAAGCTGTTTTGATGAGTACAATATTAGTGTTCAATGCTGCGGTATGTATAATCCGCAGCACTCACGGACAAAATTTCAGATGCAAATTGCAGTGTTTTACCGCGGTTTTTGCTTATTCCTGATGGTTCCAATGAAATCTACGTGAAAAACCGCTCTAGACTATATATCCAAGTATTTTTCTTACATGGTTTTACGATTTTTTGTTTCCCCAACTTTCATTAAATTCCAAATGGACGGTACTGTACCATGCCACGCATTTTCTACGAAATGCAGCAGTCTGATCTAGGTACCTATATGGAGCGAGTGCACCTGAAAACGCAAAGCTTCGGTTTGTAGTATGTACCAAGGATAAACGTATATCCGGCCTGGGAAAAGAAGACGGCATATGGGCCACTTTGTAAAAACTTTTTCGCTCCGTCAGTGCGACAGATGATACTCGCGAAGTCCAAGGTATGGAATAAGATCATAACTACATTGCCAACAGCAGCTAGCATCAAGATATTGTCGGACACATTACACAAAGAGCATGCAATGACCCATGCCAATGTCATCATGATTGGTGCAAAAAAATCGTATAACTTGGTGCATGATGACAGTTACGTGATTGAAGAAACGAAGACGAAGCAGGCGCTGATTCAAGAAGAAGATTTGGAGGATGCAGATGAATGATGATGACGTTTTGGAAATCGACCGAAATCTTAATTCCATGAGCATTGAAGCTGCGGGCCTTCCATGGTAAAATTGCAAAAAAAAGTATCAGAGGCGTCTATGATGATGAAACGGTCAAACCGATCGCTGCTGACATTTACAGTAAGCTCTTGGAATAAGTGGCAGACCAAAAGAGAGTCTGCCAAGCAGCATTGCATGAAGTACATTCTCTTTCTGACAGCTAGACTCAGTGATGGAAGGGAAGCAACGTTCCGAACTTGAACATATGGGAACGAAGCCCGTCGCATGTAACCTGCCACCTTATTGGCATCGAAACAAGGTTGACATGCAGACTATTATAGAAGCACGTCTAATGCAATGGAGAACAAGAGCGGTACAGACATTTCCCTTGTGTGCTGGCGTTGAGCTGCTACTCTACATATTTTTGTTTGGGATCATCTATCACTATGTTTTATTTTACGCCAGTATAGTTTTTACAATAATATCATTGTTATTCTTGTTTATATTGTATACAATGTTGATGCACACAATTATAGGTCCAGCGGTATAGATATTGCGATGTGCTGCAATGGAAGTCTTGATACGATGACTCCAATGATGAATGACTTTTACTGCCATCCTTACCCAAGGCAAAGACTGCCGTGTGCCGGAAAGGATTGTGAGTCATTGCTTTGATCCTTTATCGATTTTATGTGACCAGCCCTAGGTAGTTTTCCAATAGAGCGCGCCTCTCGGAAAGTGGTCCATTCGTTGAAAGCCCGTAGAATGTAAGGGAGCTCTCTGCAAACTGTGATTCATGCATCATTAAATTGACAGAATGGACTTCCCAACCTACCGGTGTATAATCTAAATCAAAACGTTAATGCGACATTGTATGCACTTTGGCCTTTTCAACGGCTTAAAATCGGTGGCTTGCGAAACTACACTGCGAGTCAAAGTATCTTGGGTTTCGCATGTGCCGGCGGCAATCTGTGAGTGCAAGCAAACAAGAATAAGGCTCGTCTGAAACTGCATATAGAATACCTTCAAATCAACACAGTTGCTATTATATTATAATACTACAGCATAATAAATTTTCTAACATGTTTTGAAAATACTGACATCTAACACGGTTTCAAATTATCCTAAACATTGTTCTCAATTTCTTTTTCATTCGTCAAGAAATTTCCACATCCTCTCATCTATTCCATCGATACAGTACGTATAGTATTCAGTCATTCACTACTTCATTCATCTTTACCTTTACCCCGCCATGTTGATGGAATCCTTGAATAGTTCACTAAAGGATTTGGCCGACTTGCTCGTTTCCTTTAGCTTCTTGAGCATGATTCCATTGGCTTCAATGAATCCATATTCATAGTATTTCAAATGAGGATATTGCTTGATGAATTCCTTGAGCATACCCTGGCACTTTCTCAAATTGTGACGAGGAATGCGTGGCCACAAATGATGGACCACTTGCAAGTGTAGTCCACCATGGAACCAATCCATCCACAGTGGGCAATCGACGTCCATGCTTCCCTCCATTTGCGTCCAGAGGAATCCATTGGAGGAATCGTCATAGGTGACGCCCTCGTGGACGGCCATGGCAAAGTGACTGAGGGTGATTTGAACGTGCAAGATACCAGCGACATTGTGACTCAATAGGAAAAAGGCCCAGCGCGAGGACTTGTCGGGCAATGCCATGAGAAGGGCGGAATACCAGCCATAGAATCCAATCAACATGAGGGCTTGCAAATCTCTTCGGTAGACCTTTTCCTTGAGCGAGTAGGCTCCAATTCCAGCCAAGTGCAGGATGGATTGGATGTAAAGGTTGATCCGAGCAAATGCCATGACTGGATAATACAGATAGTGTTGGACTCCCACCAGCACATGTGCTGCTGAATTGAGGGTCATGTAGGCATTGTAAAACTTGGAAAAGACAGGTCCTTCCAAATACTTTGGTGAGACTGCAAAGACCGGCAAATGTTGAATGTCGGGATCATAATCGATCGAGTTGGTGACGATGTGGTGAACATTGTGTGAACGCTTCCACCAGGACATGCCAATGCCCGTGAGAAAGTTGGCCAAGAACAGAGCCATTTTGGAATCGGTAGCAATGGAGTGAGAGATTCCATTGTGTCCCAAGTCGTGTCCGACAAAGGCAATCTGCTGCCAAAACAGACCCAAGAGTGCGCCAGACGCACAGTGAGCATAGAAATTGTCAGAGGACAGTGCCAAATACAACATGAGCGCAAAATGGACTGCCAACCGAGCTCCCATCTTGTAATAGAAGGTATAGTCAGTCTGAAACATGCCTGCTTCTTCCATCTTGACTGTCAGTTCGCGAAAGGCAATGGTAGCTTCGTCCACGCCGTTTTCAGGATCCTTCAAGTCGCAATACAAGAATTTGGGCAACATTTTGCGGACCACCTTGGGGTGATTTTGCAGAAAGCTGTCGGTGGCGTCTCGGCCAGACAAGGCGCGCATGGTCAAATGGCCTCCCGGATGCTCGTCTTGCCAGTTCGTCATGTTGTAAACCTTGTCATGAATGATCAGAAGCAAATGAGAGTCAGGATTGGCAATCTTTTTCACATCCGCACGAGTCATTCCTCCTTCAGGTGCCGAAGGAGGAGGAGACGAAACAGAGACGACCGGGCTTTCTGTGGGCTTTTTGCACATTGCTAGAAAGTGGGAGAACTATATATATTATAAAGAAACGGCACGAATGCTGCTACTGTATTGTGGAAAGAAGAAAGAGACAAGAAGACTCTGGCTCAATAGTAAGCAATGCAATGCAGTTCCAAATCCGAAGTTTCAAAAACAAAACAAAAACTCCCAAAAAACCAGCTGTGGGTTTCTCCATTTGTTTTGGTTCGTGGAAGCTCCTTCCCCAAAACTATTAGTCACACATTTTATACACGTGCACCTACCAAAATACGGACCCCATACAGGCTTCCCCTTCTTCTTTTGCCACCACATCAGCCTTCGCGAACATTGAGGTTGGCTGGCGCTGAAAAATCCGATCCATTGCACGGCGGTCTCGCGCGCGCGCAAGGCACTGCAATTTAACCTTTCAAAGAAATCCTAATCAGCCGACTTCACAGATAGATTTACCGGCCGATAGGCTCTTGTTCGATTGATCTGATTGGTCAAATTGGGTCTTTCGCTTGCTCTTTTTTAACCGATCGGGGGTCAGATAGCCCCCTAGGGGGCTATCCCCCCCCAAACTTCAACTTCAAGCAATGAGATGACTATGATAAAAGACGAATTTACCAATGCAGCTTTGAATATATATTCTCTTAGTTGTCTACTAGATTATCCTTGAATATTGTTGGCAGTGATGATGACTGGCCGAAGCTGTGCCAATTTTTCATTTTGACCAAAATGACCAAAATTCAACACCTCGCCAAAAATCGTGCACGCTTGGTCCGTCGACCATTGCTCGTCAACAACAACCTCCGCACACTTCAAATTTGCACCAATGCAACCCAAGAGGGAACCAAACAATTTGCCCAAATGCAGTATATGTGTGAAGATCGAGTGCACAAAGAATTTTTCAAAATGCCCATGCGAACCCAAAACTTGCTGCCAAACTTCCAAGGAAAAAGTCAAGCCAACATTCGATGATGACGTCAAGGCAACAATCAAACTGTGGCAACTTCGAATCCCTCCTATATTATCTTTGAGCTGGAAACTACTTGCTTTTCGAGATAAGCAGATGAGATTGTTGAGCTTTCAGCTCCAACACTACAGCATTGCTAGGAAACTTTTCCAGTACTTTATCCGCACCAATTGTGAAACCACTACAGTGTGTTGCATACAATGAAAATGTACACGGCTAAGTGATGAAATGTTGAGGAATGAACCAGACTTTGGATTGGTTGGTACAGAATTCCTAAAGTGGATTGATGAGCTGGGTGGTGGGGTCCTTCAACGAGGAACTGTCTATTTCGTTGAATACAATGAGCAATCATTTGGCTCTCCATAATTGGAGGAGGCATGCAAGTGCTATGAGGTACCCATTTCTCCTAGAATATACTAGTAACTTTAGATGATGATATACTTGGAAGAGACTCGGCGATAGAAAGCAAAGGACTGCCTATGAGTATGTTGTTGCGAATACAAATTTGGCCAAACACATATCAAGCATTTGCAAATGATCAGGCACTAGCCAAAATCCTTAAATACACCGACCAATAGATTTTGAGAAGGGTAAATACCTGTAAAAAGACTGAGATGGGGTGGAACTTTGATTGTAGCATCTTGTTGCATTGGCTTTGACGTCCGAGTCACCAAAGCTGAAAGAGCACAAGCCAGTATACACTATGACTTTGGATGCCGACTATACACTTGCTGGAAAGTGAAATTGGCGCATCCGGATTGCAATAGGTCTAAATACATTAGATAGAGGTTATTTTGGCTCCTTATGCAAGAATCAAATGGCTGAAGTCGACCATTCTAATATGAAGCATCTGTTGTGCAAAATTCGGCTCCATGGCCTCCTAGACTCGGACCCATAGCCCAGCCGTTGCTGCATAATGAATATTTTTACTATTTAGATATCCCTATTCCTTGTCCCAATACATTGGATGGTGGAAGTGCGACGAACCTCCTGCAGATGAAGCAACATCTGATCAAGCACATTTTGAATCCACTCATCCACAAGAGGGAGCATTTGGGAGTAGTCCCATCTTATATCATCCTTCCAACCCACTATCCTAAGAGATTAAGTATGCATGATGAGCGGAGGGAGTGTGCTCTGTGCTTGAATCTGCATCTACCGCACACATTATGAATCGTTCGTGTCGGATGCAAATTGTGATGAAATCAGTGCATTTCATCCTGCTCCAAAATGAAACGAGCTTCGGGGTTTTATTCCCCAATATAAAGTCTAGGAAAGGGAACACAACAAAACTCATCAGTATCACAGGAGCCACATTGTCTCATTTCCAATGGGTGTCAACAAGAGCCCCATCATGCTTGAGATTGATATATTTTCTGGAGCGCCGTCCCTTTTGCAAAGTCCAAAATTGGTCCATCGAAAGCTCCAATCCAAAGATCGTTATTCCTTATGGAGAATTGGGTAGTTCAGATCTAATTTGTAGCTTCAGTCTGGTGGTGAAGGCAATTGATGGCTAGAACTAGGCACTTTCGCTCGATCAGGACAAAAAACTTGATGATGTTGAACATTTACGTCTACAAGTGTGTGGTACATTTATTTCGTATCCGTAAAATTGGGGATAGCCCCGGACAATGCCCGATCGGTTAATTAGCCGCCAATTACACAACAGACGTCTTTCCCAATGTCGCATAGATCCCAATTGATAGCATCTCTACATTTCACCTTCATGCCCTCGAAAATTGCGTATTGGCATCAGCCCCCCCCATTTCCATTGCAAATGATGCCATATTAACCAATTCGGATCAGCGGTGTTAGAAAAATTTCATTGGGGTACCATGATCTCTGTGGATCCTACATGTTGACTTGCAGCTTGCTTTTCCGAACCTCTGTTTACCATCATGGCCAAAGTGCTCCTGTGGTTTGTTGCTGCAGCCTACCCTGTTCCACCAAGGTATGCCACAAGTGAAGGCGGATTTCACCTCCACAAAAATGGAATTGCTTTTTTGAGCACATCCTCAAGACCTATGCAAATGGCGAGCAGTGCAGTTTTTTCCTGGTTTGTGCTATCATGGCAGATAGATATCTGGAAAAGGTGAGAACTTACTTGAGCCAGAAGCCAAGTCAACCTTTTCCAGACTTCTAGCTACAGCTATATGAATAACAAGTGGCCGCCTAATGGCCACAATATTTGGCAGCTCTACCACCAACAGGCAGAGTGTTCTTCACTGCAACCCTACAGTTATTCTTCAGCAGTGATACAGCAGCTTTTGATCATCACACCTTTGCCGCGACAAGGGCATATAGAAACAAGAAGTCCACTGGCATGAAGTGCTTTGCAGATCTCAACAATGGAAGAACTGGTGAAATTGGTGCCATCCTCTAGTATGCTGTTCCAACAACGAAGTTGAGTGATGTATCCCACGGGTTGACACAAGCAGCGCCTCGATTGAAGAATGCATCTGTACTGACAACCGACACCATACCGCATGGAGTCCAATTCTGGGATGCAAGGGAGTAAAATGCCACCTTGGGCTACTTCACTTTTTGGGCCGTATGTTTGACACCCTTCTTGATTCAAAGACTGAACATTTCTGGCCGTGTCTTGTGAAGTTGAAAGATTGTATTTACAAGTACAACAAAGATGGCTGGGCAGCACCTCATGTAGTACCAGTCAATTACAGTTGCCAACATACCTTCCCATTCTTCATGGTGGCAGCTAGTACTACTAGCACTACTACTAGAAGTGATCCTAGTACGGAATTTACAGCGCTTCCTCATGATCAAGGGCTAAGGTGGGTCCTTAAGACAAGGTGTTTAGTTGTTTGATAAGACAAAGAGAAACTGCTAGGGCCGTGTGGAGCTCAGACCTGACACCCCCCCTAACATCTCCACAGTTAGTCGAATGAATCATCTTTTGTAAACCGAATAAAAACTAAAACAGTCTCAAAACACAATGACTACAGCGTGGCCTTCGTTACTGCAAACCTTTTTAAAAAAAATATGTCATCAAAGCAATAAAACAGTCTTTGCACACAGATGATCGCGTCCCGACACTATATCGACCATGGTATACAATAACGCAACATACGAAGTTCATATCCCATCTCTTGCTCCTTTGGCATCCGGGCATCAAGAGATCCCAGTACCTGCTATCAATCAGGGCGATCCGATGACGACAGATGACATTGCGGGCGCCACCTCGCAGTACAAGATGCGCAAGTCGATTCAGATGAACCATCCAACACTAGTCACTTCAAGAGAAGTCATCGAAGCGAAACGTCGAAAGCATGCTGTGGAATCAGCACAATTTGACGGTTCGACTCCTGCTTGGGCGCAGCAAATGCAGGGGCAGAGCCAGCAAATCCAGCAAACTCAGACCCAGATGCAACGGCTAATGCAGCAAATGCTGGGGCAAATCCAGCAAATCGAGCAATCTCAGACCCAGATGCAGGGGCAAATGCAGCAAATGCAGGGGCAAATCCAGCAAATCGAGCAAACTCAGACCCAGATGCAGGCTCAAATCGGTCAACTGGATAGCCGTATCCAGATTGAGTCCCAGCGCTCGAGAAACTATGCCCGTCATACCAACGAATCTGTCATTGTTCCATTGTTGAGAGAATCGGACGGGACCATGCCTCAAGATGACGGCGCGTGGTTCCCTGCAACTCAAGCCGCTCTTTTCACCGCTAGTCATGCTCAAATGAATTCTTTGCCATGGGATTGTTGATAGTTTACCCCGAATCACAGCACCCCGAATCGCATCACCCCTCGCAAACGTGCGAAACTTCACCCTCCGGATCGGATAGTGAGACAAAATTGCTCCTGTAAACGACAACAAGGTTATCTCCCTTCGATTGGAGTGTGAATCACAGTAGTGCCAAGACCAAGAAGTTTCTCACCTCAATCACAGAAAAAGAAATGCCCCTAAGTGAAACGCAATCTCTTAAGTGAAATAAGGCGACCACAAAAATGCCACTCACATGTTGTGGGAAGGGTTCAACTTTTTGAAAACCATGTTCACTTCACAACAATTCCATCTCATAGATAAAACGAAAAGGCATCAACAACTTTCAACAACAGCAATTCAAACCTTTGACCATGCCTCCATCCGACAACACCATGAATCCTTACAGCCAAAACTTGGAAGGAGATAATACTAGTCGTACTAGTAGTACTACTAGGGCTAGTACTAGCCAATCATTTTCCAACTCAATCCAACCGATTACGACAACCGAAGGCGAAAAGATTCCACAACTATCATTCAACGGATTGCTCCAACAAGAAGCTGATCTTCCATCATCCAAACTCCCATTCGTATGGAAGCTCTACGAAATGCTTGAAGGAGTCGAACGATCTGGGGATGAACACATTGTTTCTTGGGTGGAATCGGGCAGAGCCTTTAGAGTTCACAGACTGGACGAGTTTGTCAAGAACATTGTCCCAATCTACTTCAAACAAAGCAAATACAAGTCCTTCCAACGTCAGTTGAACTTTTATGGTTTCACAAGAATCGCCTCAGGTCCAAATACTGGCGCCTACTACCACGCCCAATTCCTCAAGGGAAACAAGGCAATCTGTCTCTCCATTCGACCCAAAGCAGCATCGGCCAAGGATCAACAAGGAAAGAAAACGAAAGCGTCGGCAAAGACTGGATCAAATTCCCAGGAACCACAATGGATGCCGCAAATCCAAAGTCTCCTTGCCCATGGTGCTGACCATGCTTTGAAACAACAACAACAACACTCTGCTGCAAAAATCATGCCACAACCACCAGTGTACCAAAGACAACTACCACAACATTCTCCCCGGGCGGAATCGACTGCATTGGCAAGGATGCCAGTAGCGCGAAGAGCTCCTGAGCAAGAAGAAGAGCAACATCGCCATCATCCCAGCAGCAGCCGCCGCATCAGAGACGGCGATGCAGTCACCGTTTTTGGAAACATGTCCTTTCATTATGTAGGAAAGCGATAGCCATTAACCTCTTTTTTTTAAAATGGCTAAGCATATTGTTCTATCAGATCTTCACACAGAGTACGAACCCGGCCGGGTATTCTACTGTATATTGTATGCAACTGGATCATTCGAATCACGAACATGATTGAGTGATGATAATGATGATCCGTGAATAATTGAGTATCAAGGAAGAACAAAAGAATTATGACGAAGAAAGCAGGGGATGGTCTGTCCTACTGTGCGCCTCCAGCTTCAGATTTTCGAAATTCGGCTTGTCGATGACGGACATCAAAAGTCTGATGACGAAAATATAATAATGCGTCTGAAGTCATCTGATGAGCCATAACAAGGATTTAACTGTGGAAGAGATAAGGTTGGAGTGTTCTGAAGGTGTAACAATTGCTGGTCAAAGATGGACGAAGAAAGCAACAGAAGGGGAACCAAATAATGCTGGAAGATTATTATCAGATGGCACTCCTAAACCATCACGGATTCGAATCCTTTGTTTTCATGGATTTCTCGACAACTGTCGGACGTTTCACCTGTTAGCTCCTTTCCTCATTTTCGGATTGGACAATGTGGAGCTTGTGGCTCTGGACTTTCCAGGACATGGGTTATCCTCACACAAGTCACTAGATTCACCTCCCATGATCGTCATCAATGAAACTTGTTATCATATGAGAGATGCGTGCCGGTCCTTGCAATGGGAAGACGGCTTTATACTAATTGGACATTCGTTGGGATCTATCATTGCAGTGATTTATGCTGCTTCATTCCCAGAACAGGTCCAAAATTTGGTTCTTTTGGATGGATATGGACCGGACAATTATGAAATATTTGAAATGTACGTGAAAGGAACACTATACATGAAAGGAACTGGGCAGAAGCCTGGATCCAGCAGGCCCAAGGGTGTTGTAGCAGAACGGTTGCAACGTCACGTCCAACAGCGATATGATAGTAACGTGAGAGCCAACGTGCCAAACAAACGAAAGCGGACCTATTCCAGTATTCATGCTGCAGTTCAGGCCAGGGTGCGAACAGCGGAGCTGTCACCAGGAAGACAATGGATCTCCATGGCAGCAGCTCTGGAACTAGTCCGAAGGGCAGTCGTTGTCGACGACAAGTATCCACGGGTCAGGTTCCGGCATGATCCCCGATTCAATCTGCCACCGCTCCAACTGAATACTATGGAACAGGTGGATGTCTACTGGAGCCAAATACGGTCCAAGACTCTTTGGCTGCGTGCCATTGACGGTTGGCCGTTTCCAACTGCATTCACGGATAGGGCAGAGGCCATTTTGGGAGACTTGGGAACTGTACGATACTTGCCAGGTAGCCATCACTTCCATGCTGATCCAGATACAGCAGACCAAGTGGGCCGTGCTGTCTTGGAATTCATTTTAATGTCGTTGGGCCGATCATCATAATTTGATGGCAGCGATGATGTGGCCGTGGCAATCACATGTATAAGTCAAATGTAACAAGAACATTAGAAAATGGAATCTAATCTATTCTATTCTGGCGGTAGCTAGGTATCCTTCGTTGACTTATTGTCAACTAGGTATCCTTCGTTGACTTATTGTCCTTTGACATCATGTCCACGCTATCGGGCTTGCCATTCACTGTCATCAATCAATGCGTAGGCAATAGAAGACACAATTCCTCCTTTCGGAAGCATGATCCTTGGGATGGTGATATTGATTCACGTGAATCAATTGGGCATTTATGTATGGCAATATAAAAACAATCATTTATCATGGTTCGTATCCCCTCATCCTTCGGAATGGATTTGGATCAATGGTTCTCTGGGGCGTTGCAGTAAAAGTTGGGGCAGAAGTGGGAGACGGGCCGTCATCATCGGCGTTGGGTCCAACCAACAAGAAGATAGCTACTCCAATCCCAATTGCTAGAAGTAATAAGGATGCCACCACGGGGATTATATCTCTGGTACACTTACAGCATTTCTTTCGTTGCTGTTGTTGCTGCTGTATTTGGTTTTTTGATGATTGACGTTCCAGCGTGGCTAGCCTTTCTTCAAACGCTCGCTTGCGGCGCTCTTCTTCCGTCATGGTATTTTTGCCAGCATTATTGTCATCGTCGTCGTCGCGCCTTGGAGCTCCTAGGGAGCCACGCCGGCTGCGGCGACTCCCAGCAGATTTCGATCCTGCTGGTTTAGATGCTAATGATTGCTGTGCCGTACCCTTTTGAGCCTTCAAGTTGTTCTCTTGTTGGTTGGCTGGAAGGCTCACTGATGGCTTTTGCGGTTCTGGTGTTGATGAGGATGGTGGATGTGGGATTGGATATTCTTGTTCAATGTGAGGATTCAGCTCTTGTTGTGGTGGATATCTTCCTGCTGCTTCCTGTCCATTTGTTCCATAAAAGTCGTCGTCATCATCTTCATAACCAAAGGAGATCTCATCTTCATCATTCAAATCAGATTCCCACACAGAATCATTCGCCACAGACCCGTGGGATGCGGAACTCTGAGAATATGGTTTTGAATCACCATTGTCGCTGACGTAGCTTCCCTTAGAATGAGAAGAAAGGTTCCCCAGACCAGTCTCAACCATTCCAGCCATGTTCACTGCAGAGAATTCAGAGCTTCCTTTTGTTTTGCCAGATAATGATGATGAGGCATTATTCCCGTTTGTATCCTCTTGTTGGCCTGAGAATTTCTCATCTCTCTCCTTTTTCTCTTCAGACTCTTTATCCCTGATTTCTACAGTGTATTCTTTATTCATTTTGTATGATATACTTTGATGAATGCAGTGTAAACAAGCTCCCAAAGTTGACCTGAATATGACAATGTATTATATAATATATGCATCAGTCGATGACTTCCGTGTAATTTCTTCCGTAGTTTTGCTACGACGCTTGAACGAAGAAAACATACCATGCTAGATTGACTACTTGGACTAAAAAGCGGAAAATGCGAATACCGCCGGCCTGTGGCATGGTGTGCAGCACAGTACAGTACTCTAAAAATAACATTACTACCCTACCGGTACATACATTTATACTTCTTCCAAGAGGACCAATTCCGCTACTTGGACGATACTCTGGGATTCGATTTGGTCCGCTAAAGTCGTTCCAAAGGAACTCGTCAAGTATCGAATCATTTCCATTGAGTTTGTGGAATCATCGCCCTTGACCCAAATGCTAAAATCCAGCAAGATGCTAAAACAAGGGCGCGGAAGACTGCCACTACAATCTCCCATGTCTCGGGCATTGATGACATATCCATTGGCGACTCGGGCATCGTCTTCGTCCACAAAGGAATCCTTGCATCCAGCCATGATGGGCAATAGAACCGACTGAAATTCAGTTTTGATTTCCTTCAAGAGTGAGGTTTCCCATGGTTCCGTGGTAGACACATCCACAATCCAATTTAGATCGAGCTGTTTGTACTGGTTCTCATCGGGAATCGGGTATCCATTTCGTACGGCATCGCAGTTGCTTGATTCTTCGGGTGCCACGGAAACACCGATACCGACACCAATTCCAATCAATAATAACAAGCATGCGAGCAAAATACCTTTACCCTTTTTGGTCTTGAGGCCAGCCTTGAGCGCAGCCAAACTATGTTGGGAGGTGGCATTATCCTCGCCAGATTCTTTCAAATGGTGCGCCGAATCTTCGGGTGGTGGTACTTCTCGGCCATTATTGATCTCGTCCACGTCAATGTCAACTTTCTTGGGTTCGTAGTTGTCTTCTACCATGGTTGGTACTACCGACAAGACTTGGGCCTCTCCGTCATTTTTATCAGCTGAACCCGGTGCTTCAATATCCATAGTTGTATTTGTATTAGCATTCGGATTTTCGGGCGCCGCCATTGGCGAGGTGGATGGACTTGGATTGTAAGCATCCATATCCACCGGACTCCTGGTCGTTGCCGCCGTCTCATTGCTGGTAGGCAGTGGTGGAAATGGCTTGGCTCCTAGTCCACCCGTACCAACCGAAGAACGTGGTGGTGATGGCAAACTTCCAGGAATAGCTTCTCCGTTATCAAAAAAGGAATCATCGTCCACATTTTCATCCGGCCAGGTCCGAGCTACCGAGATTGGTGATGTTCTGGCGGGGGTTCTCGATGGTGACGTCCTGGGTGACGTTCGAGGCGTACCCGACAAGTTGGTGGAGAGTACGGGTACAATTCCAGTGGCTGTGGCAGCCGCGGCGGCCGCTGCCGCAGCTCGAGCCACAAGCGATGGTCTATCCATAATGTTGGATGGTGATGATGATGATGATGCTTGATGGTCATCTTCGTTTTCACTCTTGATGGCGGGAGATGCGGTGGGTGAGGCTCTTGGTGATGATGATGCGGACAAGTTGGAGAGGGCAGTCGAAAGACCATTGGCAGCCGTGGCTGCGGCAGCTCCCGCTCGGGCCGCAAAGGATGGCCTTGTTGCTTCTTGGTCGTTTCCTACTTCGACTGGTACCGCCTCGGCGACTGCTGGTTCATCATCATCAGCAGAATAAGCAACCGCCGTCTCGGACAATTTGGTAGCATCAATGAGTTCGGCGTTGGAATCAGGCCTTGCTGGGAACAAGTCCAAAGAATCCATGGAAGTTACAGTCTCAACGTTCGGTGGTGCTGTAGTTGGTGTCATTGGAAGCGGTTCCGAATTATTGTCGGAATTTGAAGATTCTTCTTTGATGATGATTGCCTCTTCTGGCTGATGGTGGTTCCTCTCATCTTGATCTTGATGCTGAGCATTATCCAAGACATCAGTTTCATTCTCATCCCTCGATTGAGATTCTTGAATAATTTGTTCTGTGCTTGCTGAAGAAAGCTCTGATGCTGATTCAGTAGGCGTCGTCTTATTGACTTTTTCCTCTTTTGGTTCTGTGGAATCATTGGTGAGAGTATTGGAAATCTCCAAATCATCATCGTCCATACGCGACACTGTTTGAACTTCTCCAGCCATATTGATGCTTGTAATGCTGTCAGAAAGATTATCTTTGGCTTTCACAGTATTATTAGGCTGATAATAAGGAGATTGCAGCAATAATGCAGCTTGTCGTTGTTTGCTACTGTTAGTCCTAGTATTATTATTATTGGCTTTTGGAAAATCGTCAGTCTCGGACGTATACGTAGGATTGTTCTCTTCTCTAGCGGTTCCTCTTGTCATATGCTGGAGTGGCAATCCAACAAGAACAAGAACAAGAACAAGAACAATATACCGGTATGTATTCTATCTCTTGAAATAAGAAAGCAATAACTGATTTTTAGATTTCTCGCGGTTTTCTTTTGTTTGAAACCAAAAAATGCCTACCGATTTGAGATTTCTGGCCAATGACAACGCCGTATTCGCAACTGGCAACGATTTTTTCTTCTACCCGTTGGTTTCTCCTCTTTGGTACATTCAACCTACCTTATTCGACGTACGTAAGATATGTTTCCACCCGACTGGCGTACAGACGGCAGTCACAATGATGACGAAAGATTTGAGATTTCATTTTGAAAATGATATAAAGGCGCGGTGTTCTCTCCATATTTGTTGATTGTTATTGTTATGTTTGCGTATTGCAATGAATGGTGAATAGTAAACTGCACACTAGCTTACAAGTACAAATAGCAGTGGAGACTTTCGGACTATCCTCTCGACTATGTTTCTGTTCCGACCAGCCACATTGATTGGTCGACAAGACTACTCTCATCGTGTTGCATCATTATTATCATTATGGAAACGAAGATCATCCTGTTATACTCCTCGCAGCCGTATTCTTATTCGCCAGCAGCATACTAGTAATAACAACAACAACAACAGCAGCAACAGCAGCAGCATGACCAAATATGCTTCGTTTCTATCATGGTACAAGGCAAAGCTCGACAGTCATCCTCTATTGACCAAAGGAATCACCAGTGGTGTGATCTGTGCCACCGGTGATGGCCTCTGTCAGTATTTGTCGCCACCACCTCAAAAAAGCTCTGATGAAACAACTACCTTTGACTACTGGCGCAGTTTTCGGTTCTTTGTCATGGGAAGCCTTTGGGTAGCGCCTTGCACACACTATTGGTACAGCTTTTTGAACCTTCGCCTCTTTCCGGGACCCAGCACATTGGTCACGGTTTCGAAACGGGTTCTGGTCGATCAATTTGGCTTTGCCGTGCTCTTTCAACCCAGTTTCATGAGTCTTCTCTGGTTCATGGAAGGGAGGAATGGTACTCAAATACAAGAGCAGCTAGTGCAAGTTGTTCCAACTGTCTTGGTGGCCAATTGGTCTCTTTGGATACCCGCCATGAGCATTAACTTTGCGTACGTGCCGGTCCAATTTCAAGTCTTGTTTGGGAATGTGGTGGCTCTACTTTGGAATACCTATTTGAGCTACAAATCAGCCCAATCATCCGACGACAACAGTTAAAAAATATTTGTAGGCTCTGGTGATATATGGTAGGAAATAAGGGAATCTACTATACAGTACTGTACCTGCTGAACTTGTCTGCTCGATCCATGTGAGAGTGTTGCAATATACAGTACAGTATATACGGAGGAATCATATATCTTGCGCGACGAGTCGTTCGGTCATTGATTCATTCGTCACTCGAACCAATTAAAATTAACAGCGGTCCCATCTTCATCCGAAAGTGTACAGCTTGCAATGAATCCTTACAATTGGCTTGGTGATCTACTGTATATTGCCATCTACGATTACACCATGTCAAGCCCCTAGTGTTATATTTATATTCATTCTCTATTTTATCATATTATATCATATATATATTATAATATACTCAAATATTAATATTAGTTATTATAATATATTTTATAATATACATTTGTAGAGAAAAAGGAAAAAAGTGGGCGCGGGTGATCTTTTCTACTAAGTCCGTTGTTCAAAGAGACCCACCAACCCCGTTTGCCGGACATTTTCCATTTGATCCATGGTTTCTGCAACCGCAGTGTTGTATTGGGCGGAAATGTGGGATATCAGATCCAGTACCGACGATTCTCCTCGCACGTAGACCACAAAGTCCACCAGGACTCGGGCACATGGTTGGGGTTCTCCCACCCGACAACTTCCGACATCTCGGACACTACGAACGTAGCCATTCAAAATGTCGTATCTTCCATCGGACGAAGGTGGCGTTCCCATGCATCCCGCCAATGTCGGAATGACCATGTCTTGAAAGTGGGTTCGGGTGATGGACGTCAGAGCTGGCATACTCGCCCATGCTCCTTCGGAGGAAATGTCCATGACCCAGCTGAGGCGGACCGTGGGATACAGGGACTCGTTGGGAATCGCAAAGCCACCGAGGACGGCAACGCAATCGGGATTTAGAGGATCCTCCTCGGCAACACCCTCCAAGGCACCCGACATGTCAAGTGCAAAGTAAATTCCAGCAAACAATCCAGCCACCAACAAGAGAATCACGAGACCGAAGAGCGACTTTTTGTGGTTGGCGCAGAAATCTCTGCAACACAAGGGAGGGCATCCGGGACATTCAATCTTGATGGATTCTCGAGGCTCTCTAGGTGCTCTGGGAGCACCCTCGCGTCGCTCCCGTTTTCTCGATTGTCTTCGTGGTGGTGATGATGCTGCAAGTGCTGGATCTAGAGCTGGAGGAAAGCCTTGCCAATCCACTTCCACAGATTCAAAGGAACTACCAAGTTCCACATCTTCCCACTCCAACAAACCACCGTCGTCTGATTTACTCTTCTGACGAGTCTGTTCGATGCGTTCAAACTCGAAATCTTCTCGTTTGCGAAGTTCTCGTTCCCGACGTTCTTCCTTGAGACGGGCAATCTCAATTTCCCGACGCCGTCTCTCATCTCTTCGCCTTTCGCGTTCTTCTTCTTCTCGCATCATGCGTTCCTCTTCTTGCAAGATGCGTTCTTGTTCTCGTGCCAATCGTTCTTCTTCTCTTTTCAATAACGCTTCCTTGCGGCGGATGCGTTCTTCCTCACGGGCCTTTTCTTCCCGTATTTCTTGAAGACGTTGTTCTTCCTTTTTGCGCAGTCGCTCTTCTTCCTTGCGAGCTTGCTTCTTCGTATGTTCGGTGGCTGCTGCTTTTTCTACTACTACTGCTACAGGCTTGGTACTCCTGAACCCACCTCCAAAGGGATTGAATCGACCTGCTTTGGTGGAGGGCGAGCCCTTGTTGTTCTTGTTCTTGCTCTTGCTAGACATTAGAACCTCTTCGTCACCCTCTGGTTCTTCGTCGGAGGGTTGATCCGGATCCAACATTTGGGGAGACAACAAGACGGATGGTGGTTCCAAGCTATGAATGGGAATCACTTCGGTAATGGGAACCGCCTTGACATCAAACATCTTTTCGCCATGATCGTAAAAACTGTCGTCAATCGAGGTATTCATGGTGGAACTGGTACCAGCAGTCGTGGCGGTAGCGTTGGTGGGAGAATAGTATCGCACCGCTTGGGCTTCAAAATGAGGAGAATTAAAGTTGGCCCAACCTGTGGGAACTTCTTCCTTTCGTCTCGAAGAAGGTTGATTGGGTTTGATGGGGAAATCAAAGGGATCTCGTTCGACTGTAGACAGGAGGAGAGCGTTTGTTGTGGTGAGCATCAACGAATCAATGAATCAATCACATGCAGGAAACTAAAATCAGAATCCCAACGAACGTACCAATAGAATCATCATCAATCATGTCACCATTAAAGTCTTCAAAGAAACCGTTGCCTCCCTGGAATGGATTATTACCAAAGTTAAACTCTTCCCAGGTTGTGTCCATGCCGCATTTCATCCAAGCACGATTGGTGGCCTTGGGGATGGTCTCCGTTACGAGGGAAGTCAATCCTTGGACTGGTTTGACTTCTCGCAAAGTGGTGAAACCATTTCTCATGGAGTCTCCCCATGTGGCTTGTGGAGAATCACCATTGCCCTCTTGTTGCTGTTGTTGCTGCTGTTGTTGTAGTCTTTGTTGTCGTTGTTGCAAGCTCTGTCTCCAACTTGGTTGCTGTGATTGCTGTGATTGCTGTCGACTAGTATTCGAAAAAGCGTTGTTGTTTTGCCGAATGTTTTCTTCGTAACGACGCTGTATTCTCGAGACTCTTCCAGCAGACATATTTTTAAGTGTGTTTGCTGTGTTTGCTGTGTTTTGATGTGTTGTGTGTATATTAGATATATCTACCGGTATCGTATCGTTCAACTGTTGTTATTATACTCAGAGTATCAACAAAGAGAGGTGCTTATCTGCTAAACTGACAGTAGTATAGCTCTACTTGAAAAGTTTTGAGTGGCGGGAGGGTCGGAGCCGTGCCAGCGTTTGGAAGAGTCATAACGTTGCCATACTGGCAAATGAGAATGTGGCGATGTGCAACGGATGAGAACCCACAGAAAATGGCAGTACTTGAATAAAATAGTTAGGGAGGTGCGGGCTGCCTGCCGATCAAAATGCGAGAATGCCGCGATGGCCTGCGATAATCATAATCTTAAGTAAATTGAGTCAAGGTGCGTTGAAAACCAATATCAAAGCACGCACTTATTATATATGTGCATATAATTCTGACGTTCCTCCGATCCGAATACCAATGGGTCGGATGTTTTGACACGATCAGAACGTACGTGTATCTAGCGCACCTCTTGCGATCTCTTCCTCCAACAACACACGATTGGCTCTCACATTTTGAATTCTGCTTCTTGTAACGTCTGATGTTAGGCATTCCACCTCTGTACCGTATATAATTAGAAGACTATTTTTTAAAATAATAGTATCGTTGCATACCGGTATGATACAGTAATTATGAATAATATTGCAGTCAAGTGTGTGATCAATATCGCAGCAGCATGTTCTTGATATCAGGCATCAGGCATCCCTTCATGCATACAGTAGGATTTTGTTTTGTTATAGTACCGTACTCACTAGATCTACCTGCCGAATGTCATCCCCAGTCTCCATGGGATTTACCAGACCGTCAAATCCAAAATTGGCCACACAAAAGGTATTCATGGCTTGAGCATCTCGTCGTTCTTTGGTCCACAAGACAAAACTCACCAAGAGTCTCGAACAAGGCATGGGGGCTCCCAATTCGCAATTGCCAATCTCACGGACACTCCACACATAACCATTGACCACCAAATATTGACCTTGTAATACGCGACCGTTGGAGTCACATCCCACCACAGTGGGCAATACTTTGGATTGAAAAAGTTCTTGGACTTGAGTCGTCAATTGCAGCGTAGTCGTGGGCGCATCGATCAAGGAAACGTCCAACAACCAATTCAGGTCCACTTCAAAAAGTGATTCTTCTCCCGGAATGGAATACCCGTTTTCAACATAGTCGCACTGTTTCGTAGATGGAGCGGAGTTCAAATCATCGAGACCTACCACCAGCTCATCATCCGAAGAACCCGCCGAAGATACCGCCAATGAAATGCCCACAATAATTCCAATCAATATCAACAAACAGCCCATCAAAATTGGTAATTTGTCTTTCCAATTGTACTTGAAGATTTCGTCTCGCAATTCCCTCCAGGAACTTGTGCGTTCCATTATGTTACCATTAGTAGTAGGACCACGGTTTTCTTCTTCCTCTTCCATCATCCTGGAGGAATCAAATTGAATGTGATGAGGTATTTCCTTATTGTCATCATCTTCTGGTTCTCGTTGGGAGGCTAGAAATTTCGGAAACCCATGATCGTCAAAGCCAAAATTACTTTCAAGGTCCCCATCCGAATGAGATCGTTTCAAAAAAGAAGGAATGTCTCCTTCTGGAAGGGATTTGTTGTTCTCCATGTTGTTGTTCTTGGCAGCAGCAGCAACCATTCCATCATTCACATCAAATTGATTTTCAGGAAATAGGGCAGCGGCGACTGCAAAATGTTCCGTAGGGAGCCAATCGGGGGACGATGGTCGTTTGTTATTGTTGCTGTTGTTGTTGTTCTGCCGGTTTATTCTTGATTCTTCGTCGTCTGCCGCAGATGTAGATCCAGCAGCAGCAGCAGGAGTAGTACTAGTACTAGTACTAGTAGTAGCATATTGTCGCAAGGCATCCATGGCATAGGCAATGGGATTGGGCAATGAGACATGAGAACCAGCTTTGGGTGCTAGTGGTGGTGGTGGTGCATCTGCAGAAGTAGTAGGAAATCGTTCAATGGTCGGTGGCCACAAGTTATTGGGATCAGCCAAAGCGGACAATTCGGATACATTTTGAAGGGATACTTCCACTTGTGGTTTGTCATTTTCATTACCATCACCATCTTCGTCCATGGTCATTTCCGATATATTCTGAGGTGTAGTTTCCATTGTTTCCGTTGGCGGGACAGAGGTTGGGGAAGTCATTGACTCGTCTAGCTTTTCCGCTGGTTGGCTTCTTTGGATTGATGATGGATCTGGTAATGGCCGTGAGGAGCGGCTAGCCTCTTGTGGATTGGGACTCGGCATCGTTGTGGTGGCTGTTCGATTGGCAAAGGACGGCCGTGGCGGTCGTGGCGACGTTCTTGCGCTGGATTGGAGTTCCTTGATTCGTGCCTGTATGCGGGTCATGGAATTTCGGTCAATGGTGGTGGATCCCTGTCCAAAGGACGAATGAGAGGGTCTTGGCGATGCCGAAGACGCGAAGGATGTCCTTGGTGAGGTGACAGACGATTCATTCTTTTGCAGTGCCTTGATCCTCTTCGCCACGGATGATCCCTGAGATCCAGAGGACGATGCCGATGATTCCTTATCATCTGGTGTCGATTCTTCAACACGTTCGAACGATGCCCGTTTGTTTTGCGATGATCGTGACTTGAACGATGGACGCTGCTTATTGACTGGTGATGCAGCACTACTACTTCTTTGAAGAATCCTCTGAGACAATGATGATATGAGGGATGCTGATGACAGCACCGAGTCTTTGTCAGCGTCGCTGGAAGCTTCCTCCTTTTGTAACTGAAGAATCTTGTTTGACAATGACGCAATGAGAGATGCTGATGATACCACAGAGTTGTCAGAGTCTCTGTCATTATCGTTGGATGATTCCTGAATAATCTTTTGAGATAACGATGATATGCGGGATGCGGATGATACGACAGAGTCCTTGTCCGCGCTGGAGGCTTTCTCGTTCTGTAATTGAAGAATTGCCTGAGAGAGTGATGATATCCGAGAAGCTGATGATACCACTGACTCCTTGTCAGCATCAGCGGATGATGCTTGAGGACTCGTCTTTTGTAAATGAAGAATCCTCTGAGACACTGAGGATGATGAACGTGATGCCGCAGATACGACCGATTCTTTATCACCGCTATTAGCAGTCTGATGGTTTCTTTCTTTCGAGAACATACTCAGAGCACCGTTCAGACCCGTGTTAAACTTGTCATCGCCATCATCTCGATTTTCATTTAGGTCCGATGGCGATTTCTTATTACTTCCAGACGACCGATTCCGACTGTGCATCGGAGAGCCTACGCCATGGTCCTTTCTACCAAGATTTCCAACAAGCGTATGTGCACAATCAAACGCTTTTATGCGCCCAGCCAAGTCAAAGGAAGCTGCCGACGAAGTTGCCGATTGTGTGGAAAAATCTGATCTTTGGGATCTCGGTGATCCCTGAGGTGTAGTCATTATGGTTTGCTCCTGTTTTTCCAGTGAAGTATGTAGTGGGCTTTCTGGGTGGTTCCCGTCGGATTCTCCTAGATCTTCTGTTGTTGAAGCCATCTTTTAATAGGTTTAATATAATTCACACTGAGATGATAGAAATGAACTATACATAGATGACGATGAGATGAAAATGCGATGAGATGTCGAGATGATGACCGCGAACTCAATTTATTTCTTCACTCATATTGAATATATTTTGGTATGCGGTTTGACGCCTTCGACCAAGAATTTTGCGATAAGTTAAGATTGGCCAGTGCGAAAAAGGTGGGCCGGCTGTAATTACTTAGCACTTTTCGAGCCATCCAACGCACCAATACTGCCAGTGTAGCCTAAATTGCGAAACTTTTGCGTTTGGAGCTCTACGAGTCACAAAATCTGGAAAAAAAAGCTGCATTTCCTCCGTTTCAATAGTGAGGACTGTATCGATGCAATAAGAAAGGCAGAAGCACTAGGCCCCAATAAACGCATATCTGATCATCTAATCATACAATATTTATTTGACAATATTCGTCTCATCCTCCTACTGACGACGATAGACTGACCATTTCGACTTGCTTGATGATGCTGTCAGTGTGGTTTGTTTTGTTACCAGTACCAAGCTTTGCAACGACAGAAGGTCCATAATTTTGATCAACAGCGGAGATAACATCGAATATCCGAACTTCCTCCATTGTCCAAATCTGCAAATGTATAATAGCTCGAACACAAGGCCTTGGTTCCTTGCCATTGCAATCATCACTGCTCTTGGTTACATTCAAGACCACAGAGTTGACCATCATGTAGCGATCAGCTGTGACGGTGCTGTTCAACAATTTTTCTTCCGTATCCTGACAGCCTGCCAGCGTGGGAATGGCTATAGTTTGAAATTGGTTTCCAATCTCCAACAAGACAAGGTCCAGCGAGTCTTCCCATGGCGCATGCGTTGACACATCAATTTTTACATCGGCAAGCATGGAAAAGTAACTGTCTTGATTCTCGATAGCAATTCCATTGGATACTGCTTCACATCGTTCCTCCGTTGGAGAAGGAAATTTAAAATCCACATTTATTCCATTATCGAGATTGGGAGGACTATCATCTTGCCCTGGCCCTATCGAAGCGAGCACGACCTGCTCAATGATATCACTTTGAGTAAGACTTTCCACCAAAATAAGCCGAAAGTCGTTATGGACCAGTGGGATCAGGTCAAACAATTCGACTTCACCCTTCAACCAGAGTAAGAATCGAACCTCAACTCGTGCACAAGGTTGCGGTTCCGTTGGATTGCAATTTGAATCGCTTTGCTTCACCTGTACAATATCCGCATTGGCAAGTATATACCGAGTTTCGGTGTATTTGGTGACCTTCAAGGCTTCTTCACCGGTATCGCTGCATCCCATCAATGTTGGAAGAACCGAGGATCCCATCTTCGCCAGCATCTCCAACAATAATGTATCGATGGAGTCTTCTAAATCATCATACGTTGTCACGTCCATTGCTGCATCAACCGTCATGGTACTGTACTGATCTTGATTCGGAACTTCAACTCCATTTATCATTGCCTGGCATTCTTCCACAGTTGGAGGTGGATATAAGAGATCGTCATTTGGTTCTTCATCGATTGTGTCATTCTTGGGTATTGGATCATTGGCTGACGGACTAATGGAAATTGACACCAAGGTTGTTTGGTGAATGATCTCGCTATCGTGGCTGCTACTCTGAATCAATGCTGGCCCAAAGTTTGATTGCATAAAAGAAACAAGCTCAAGGACAGGCAATTCGGTCTTTGTCCAGAGAAAGTAACGAAAGACAACTCGGACACAAGGCCTTATTGGCTCATCAGCCGTGCAATCGGAGCTGGTGCTTCTTGTCACATTGAGAACATCCAGATTGGCAATGATATACCGATTGGGGGAAAAGGTTTGGTTGAAGTATTCTTGGTCTACGCCACCATTGCATCCAATCAAAGCAGGGAGAGCAACATATTCGAATATTCTTTGCACTTCCATTAGAACTGTGTTGACAGAGTCTGCGAATTCAGCATAAAACGATACATCGACTGTTGACTCCATCATCACGCTAGGATAGTTGTCTTGATTCGGAACTGTGGCTCCATTTCGCACTGCCTCACATTCTTCCGTAGTAGGTGGCGGGTAAATAAAATTGGAGCTTGATCCAGCATCTGCTGCCACATCATCACTGGTGGATGCCAGCAAAAAATAGAGTCCCACAGAAATTGCAGAAAGGATAATGACAAGAGCCATGGCAATTGGCATTCTCTCCTTCACACAGCTTTTGCTATGATGGGTTTGTTCTTGTGTCATTTTCCGTTCCAGAGAAAGTCGTCGTTCAATCTCACGATTCATTTGCTCTTCCATTTGTTGTAACTTGGCTTGCTCTAATGTCTCATCGACTGGGACAGCTTCTAGCTGCATGACGGAAGACCCATGACCATCATTGCCAAGATGATCATTATCGTCATTCCTGGATCTTGCGGAATTGGGGAGCTCGACAGAATAGGCCCCAGGAGCTATGGGCGAATTTGATGATTGCAGTCTTGGTGACTTTGTTCCTAATGACGAAACTTGATGCGTGACGGGAGGAGGAGACAGGGCTCCTGCTTGCTTTGAGCCAGCAGAAAGCTTGGATCGCTGATCGTAAATCTGCTGGACCATGAGCTCAGCGCTTGTATTATTGTCACCAAGCGACTGTCTTGATGATAATAAATCCATGCTGTAACTACTTCCCCCTTCTTCATCTTCTTGGAAATTGCTGTAACGATATCGCGCTTTCAAAAGGGACTCATCTCCTTCCCTCTTCGAACCTGGCTTCGACGAGATGGGAGAAATGACCGATCCTGTCATATCGACAGCTGCTAGTATGGTTTTGGGTTTGTGTTGGGGTTTGGGTGATGATGAGCGAGCTTGGTCCTTTTCCGATTGTTGGCTAGAACTGTCATCGCTTTGTTCTTGACGGTTCTTTCCATTGTATTCGTCGTCATTCTTCTGCTGAATATCAGCCTCGTCGTTGTTTTTAGCATCCATGTTCTGTTCCTTGTATCTCATCAGCGTGGCTGCGATGCGATATGGTGATGGATATGATTTTATAGTGCGACATATATTTTATATGCGTTTGAGCGGATATACTGTACGGCGGCGGTACATATAATATAATGGGTTGCTAAAAGCTCAAGAAGAAAAATGTGGGACATATTATATAGTGATTTGCCGATTTCGTGGCGTTATAAGGATTCCCCCCCCCTCCCCCAAAACAACACCCAAACCCTCTAGTTCACGAGATAGCGTCGTTTGTATTCAATACCGAAGCAAACAAGACAAGAGAGGTGTCGATAGCTTCGTCTTTATCTGCTTGTTATTCTGATGTAAGTAGTTTGTGTGAATTCGTTGAAAAAGTCTTCATTTATGCCCCAGAATGGTCCATTTTCATCGTCATTTCATTATCATTGACCGATTGGCAATGACGACGCGGTCAATTCGCCTTTCGATGACATCGCGACGGTACCAATGCCATCTTTATGATATGGGTGAAGACTCGGCAAAGTTTCTTTGTCCTTGTCGTTGTAGTTGTAGTTGTACTTGTGGTGTTGGAGCTGCTTGATGTTTCAGTATTTTCAACGCCGAATCTCATCTATATTGTTTCGCTTCTCATGTCCTGTTTTGCTTCCCATTTTGCAGCATGTCGACAAGATCTTCAAGACGTGATGCTCAAAAGAAGATAGCGCTTTCAGTCTCCTCTTCTTCCTCTGAAAGTGACGCTGAGAGATCATTAGGACAAAGGACACCCAAACGCGCAAAAAGAGCTACTTTAGTGGGTGTGCCATACTTAGTCGTCCGACTTCATTGTAAGAAGAAAGGCAATACAGTTGTCAAGTTCCCAAAGCAAAGTCATGCCTACGTCATGCTAAATATGTCTCAATCATTTTTCAAGACCGACCTGAATGCAGAATCAAGCATTGAGGACGTTTATATCGCAATCTCTGATATTTTGGTAAAGGTCGATTCTAATTTTGAGATTGACACGGACATGCGTTGAAATTCAAACAGCCAGTACTTTTCTGCAGGACAGAACAGAAATGCGCTAAACCCAACGCCACTACCAATGTCTCCCACATTTCAAATGAAAAATGGAAGACGTTATTCGAAGGCAGTGCCTTTCATGATATTGAATGCAAGGTTCAGCTTCCACATGAGGAATTAGACATGGATGAAGAGGACGAGGACATGGAGGACGGCGAATCCAGACTTGGCTCGGATTTATACTTGTACCCTGTCTTTATGGACCTGGTCTTACAATGTAGAGCAAAGGTGACAGATGATAGATCACACGCATCTGATGACAATTGACGTTGGAAGAGGTTACTGTCGTCAGCGCTAGTACTAGGGTAGCTTCCACAGAGTCTGCTGATGGAAGGGCATGTGGAGTCGTCTCTCGAACATATGAATTATTTCGAAGTTTGGGACTTCGTTTCTCTCCTGTTGTGAGTAAGTACAACCAAGCCGTCGGTGCCATCACGAGAACGGACTTGACTCCAGATGCTCCGTCAGAGACAAGGCAAGAAGCATGCCTAAGAAGAAGAGAATGCCCACTCTTCAGAAATTTTGAATCGATCGTCAAACTTGTTGTCAATCGATCGTATGTTAGTAAGAGAGTACGAGGCTGTTTGGATTTTCCATGGATAGTCTAGCGATACCGGTACAGTAGTGTGTAACATGTATCAATTTTTTTGTAACGTGCATTGGATCGAATGAATCGATCGGGTTTTGTATATTGCGCCTTGCTCTCGCAGCTCAGAATGATGCGACGATAGACGTATCTTCAATCAGCTGCCATGTCAAACCAGATTTGCTTCTTGAGCCGACGGTTGAAGCAAAAATGACCAGGCGATGAGATCCTCATAGCGCCTTTTAGTTTTCTCTTTCAACAGTACACCTGAGCTACGCAACAACCTGCTTGAAGCACCCATCATGCATGGATTGATTCATTTCTTCAATCGTTCCATATCCAACAAAACTTTACAAGTGAAAGACGGAGCGTGTTCACATATGCTTCAGATACAACCTAAGGATGGGTTCTTATGCTGTTTCAGGTTGCAAGTGTTGGCGAGTATTGTGGTAGACGATGCAGCGAGATCTGGAATGAGATCATTGTGTGTTGGCGAGTATTGTGGTAGACGATGCAGCGAGATCTGGAATGAGATCATTATGAGAATTGCTTATTCGGTATTTCCGTATTTACAACAGCTCAATTTTCCTTATTCCCCAGACGCACTTTGAAAGAAATACCTGGTAAATGAAAATGACCGGCCAACACCCGTGTAAGTACGGAAAGTACCGTGGAATGGTCGTGGCGACCAAAAGGGCACACGTTTGGCTTCGACATCCACACATCTCGAAGATCACACAAAAAAAACAGATCGCCTGTTCTAAGACTTGAACAGATTATTTTCTCATGAGACGATTCCAGGAAGAAGATGACCATGACAACGTTCAAGGGCTATTTCCACCTGCATTTGACCCTCAATTCGACGTTGAGGCTATTTCGGGTATCAGCAATCTAGGTGTTCCACCAGAGATTCTGGCTGCTCTTCAGGGAATGGGCAATCAAGCGACAGCAGAAGACCCAGGCGCAATGATGGCTGCTATCATCAAGATGCAACAAGGCATTATGGAGACGATCGAGAGCATGGAGGACACTACTGAAGAAGACAGCTTCAATCCTGCTGACATCTTTGCCGGAATGGCGCACTTGTCTGGTGGAACTGGACAATCTTTCGGATCGCCAAATGCAGCATATTCCCCAGAAGTGGTCCATGGCGCCAATTTTACCAATGACTCTTCGAAGAACGAATCTGAAACTCCAGCTTACTGTTCTCCGAACGACTTCAACTCGGGAATGGAAGTTCAGTCAGGTCCGATGGAAGTTCAATCAGACCCGGGTGCCGATATGGTGGAGGTGAACCTAGCTGATCTGGAGGTTCCTAGTGGAGGCAAGCAAAACGTGTACTGCCCTCCACATGAAAGCGCCACCAAGCCACCTCCCAGACCACAGCACCCTACTCCAACTCAAGAGGAACCCTTGGAATTTGTCAAGTTGGTCATTCGTTTCCCTCGATTGATCTTTGGTTGCATCTTCTCATTTTGTTTGGTGATCACTGTGGCCCTCTATGTCAAGGTCTTATCCAAGGGAAACCCTTTCAGTGCATTGGGAAAAGAGTTGGATCTGCACGATATCCGATCGGTCCAATATGACAGTCTCAGAATGGCAGTATACGAAACAGCAGTCGCCAGAAATGAAATGCGGACATCTTCTGTCGTTCCACCGAGACAGTCCGAAGTTGCCGAATCAACCTATTGGGTCTTCGAGGCACAGAATGAACAGAACGTTTTCGCAGACCCCCAATCGATAGCGTCGATGAAGGATACATTCGACATTTTCTTGCAAGACGAAGACTTTCAGGAATACTGTGTGCTGAACCCCGAGGCTGAGTGCACTCCACCACTAAGTCCATTACGTATGTATTATGCTTCTTCTTGGGATTCCACCAAGGTTCAATTCGTCATTGACGATCTCAAGGACCCAAAAAACGTCGAAAAAATCAATTCATTGGGCTGGTGCTATGCATACGGACAGAACTGTGATAAGGCTCCCGCAAACCCCAGGCAGCAAGACATTGACTTTGTGAAGAGGTTGAATGAGGATGTCAATAACATCATGGCTTCGTGGGACATGCGCGGCGACCTCATTGCAGACTACAATCAAGCAACCGAGCTTGCAGCCTATCTCATGGAAACAGATATCTTCAAGCCAGCTGTTGACTTTGGATACGACAAGGGATTCAGTACCGAGAATCTAGCGTCGAAGTACTCTAGAGGAATTGTTTTCTGGGGCAGTCCATTGGAAAAGAACAAGGACGGCACAAGCGAGAAAAATCGCAGAAAAGAGTAAGCGCTTCAGTGACTTTCTTTTGTTTGAACTTTCTCATCTCACACTCCCTCTGTAGCGTGATCACAGGCAGCTATTTAGATGACATGAACGCCCGAACAGAGGAACAGTCTTACTACTTCATGAAGATCCTGATCGATGATGCTATTCTTGGCATCATCGTCACTGACGCAATGTGGGCCGTTGTCAGCCTGACTCTCATTTTTGTTTGGATCCGATTCTCCACAGGCTCGTTTTTCTTGGCCTGTGCAGGTTTTTCAGAAATTTTGTTCAGCATCACTGTCAGTTGGTTCGTCTTTTCAGTTGGATTTGAAATCGAATACTTCCCGCCGCAGAATGCACTGGCATTTTTCATTGTTGCAGCCATTGGAGCGGATGATATCTTCATCTTCTTTGACGCCTACAACGACTCCAAACACGAGCCCCATATCTTGGTCGACTTGGAAACGAGAATGTCGTGGGTCTACAGGAAAACAGGGACATCCATGTTCGTCACCTCCGCAACTACTTCGGTGGCCTTCGCCTTTTCCCTTATTTCCCCACTCCCGTCGGTTCAGTCCTTCGGTCTCTTCACAGCCATGGTTATCTGCTTGGACTACGTCCTGGTGATGTCGCTCTTTTGCACTGCCGTGGTTATCTATCATGATCGCTTTGAAGACAGATCTCAATATGGATGCTGCTACCCCTGCAATGAAATTGTTCCAAGCAACACCACCAAGGCAATGCAAGCTTGGCAGACATCAAGCGCTGACGAAGACACCAAGCGGCCCTTCGTCAGTCATTTCTTCCAAACAAAGGTTGCACCGTTCATCAAGAGCCGTATCAATGCCGCCGCGCTGGCAGCTGTCTTTGGGTTCTGGCTGTACATTGCTGCCCAGTCCGCCGTTCGTCTTGAGACAACCCAACAAGCCGAGCAGTTCTTGGGTAATGACCACCCAATCCAAAAATCGTTTTCCATCCTCAACAATGAGTTTCCTGCCGCAGAGGATGACGTCAGACTCAAGGTGTTCTATGCTTGGGGAGTCGGAGAGGTGGATCGAGACGGAGTCGACTTGCTAAGAGAACCCAACAACTACGGAAAGCCGACCTTTGAAGACTCGTTCGACTTTAGCAAGCAGTGTCAAACGGATCTCGCCACCTTTTGCAGTACTCTCAGAAACGATCCTGCATACGAGGACTCAATCAAGCGCAAGAATGGGGTTGGTGAAATCAACTGCTTTATTGAAGAGCTGGCAGCGTACTCTGTCTTGGGGAACCTTGACGACTGTTCATATGTACAGAGTGGTCAATGGAAGAAGGAGGATTGGCAGGTAGATCCCGCAGACCTTCCCAGAATCATGGAAGCTTTCTTGGACGAGAAGAGCTGCTTTGATGAGAACGGGCGTCAGACAATTGGTGCAAGGTATTCCAGTGAACTTGGATGGGATGGTTCTACCATGAGGTATGCCGCCATCTCGGCCCAAACGGAAGTTCTTACCCCATTCGGAGTCTATCCCGAGTCGGTAACAAGAAAGGAGTACGACCAGTTTGCTGACATCGCCGATAGCTTGGGCCAAACAGTTTCTCGGAGCTGCCAAACGCCAGTAATCATGTCTGATCTGGACAGAAAGTTTGTCTTTATGAACAACCAGGCCATCTACGCCAAGACAGCCGTGCAAAACAGTATCTTTGGAGTGATCATTGCCTTCCTTGTGCTCCTTCTGAAAACAAGGGTCTTTCATATTGCGCTGTTTGCAAGCATGACTATCAGCAGCGTGCTAACCAGCTGTGTCGGAGTGATGGTAATGTTGGGATGGGAGCTTGGCACCATTGAGTCAATCTTGGTGGGAATTCTTTCTGGATTCAGCATCGACTACATCGTGCATTTGGCTCACGAATACGAATGCTCTGAGGGCGACCCAAATAAAAGGATCGCGGAGACATTCGGGGCCCTTGGAACCAGTCTGTTCAATGGTGCACTCACCAGCATGGTTGCCAGTCTACCACTCATCATCTTCTGCGAGCTTCAGTTCTTCAAGAAGTTTGGAATATTCTTTCTCTTGACAATCTCCTTCTCGTGGCTCTTTGCCAATTTTGCCTTCATGACTCTCTTGGCGCAAGCGAAGATTCCAGTGGAGAGGTCGGGATGGAAGCAACTTGGTGTGCTCACAATATGTACTTTCATTGGCTTCTCAATTGGAGTGAGACAGATCTACGTCTGGACGAGGCAGCAATAATAAATCTAGATGTATACATTGTATAATATACTCTCTGTCTCAAAAGTCATCAGTTAGTTGAGCAAGGAGTTGCAAACGCCAACAGATCCAAGTTGGATCGAAGTGGTCGATAGAATTGACTCCTCATCAAAATCAAGCACATTCTATTTACAAAAGACACCGGCACGGTCAGTCTGACCTCCACCTCCCACATCTGGTGAACCAAATCGGAGTGGAAAGACAGACCCATCAAATATTTCACGAATTTTCACAAGTTCAAATACTGCTTGTATTTTATACTGTATGATACGATAGTTACTATTTGTACTCAAAAGTCGGTAGCGGAATCGAAGCTTTTAAAAAACACCTGAAGACAAAGTAAAAGAGCTGTTGGCTCTACTAGATACAATTTGACTGTACATATACTATATCTAATATGATTTTGGTGCTGGTGCCGGTACACTGGTCCCTCCGTCTTTGCAATGTGTCCACACAAATCAGTGTGGGGAATATGAATAATATTGAACTAGACAAGAGAGCAAAACCCGAAAAGCAACAAAGCAGTTGCCGCCTTGTAGAATGATTACATGTTGCAGATTGAAAAGCAGGTGCTGCCAACAAGGGACGAAGGTGGCTGAAGGAAGCCAATGAGCCATTCGAACAAGACTATTGAACCATCTCTGAATCATCTGTGTGGTGGTGATGATGCAGAGCCGAGTATTGTTTTGCGTCAAATAAAGCAGACACTACATACACTGCTGTATCAATAGTAGTAGCAGATCCAGGTGATGACGATTTAAGGCAAAACATTGTTGGTGTCAGCATACACACACAAAACATAGGTTGAATGGAGGATGACCTATTCACCAAGATCCACAATAACAATGAAGACAACGATGACAATCATAATGACAATCCATGATAGCGCTCGCAGAGGCAACGCAGTGTATCAGGAGATGACGACAAGAAAGCTGCGGATGGTGGAGGCAACTCAGCATATCCTTACAAATGAAGTCCCAGTCTGACAATACCGTCTGACAAGACCAACTTTTGACCATTCCCAGAGTGCTGGCTCCCAACATGGTGGACACCATGGCTTGAATTGAAAATCTAGTGGCAGTATCATTGTCCCAGTTGTAACCAGTGTAGGAAAGTGTGGGGCCGCTAGAAACTGAGATATCACCAGTCATAGTCAAACCCTAGCCCTCCTTTTCTTCATGACAGTAGCACAGTAGCATCCATACCTGTAGACGGTCCAGTCATCTTCATTACTCCAATGCATCAAATCTCCAACCTGTTAAAGCGAGGACTTGGCACGACACAATGAAGCTTTTATGCTACATACTGTTTGTGTTGAAGATGTATTTTGAGATATTTTGAGATTGGAGAATGCGGAGCAGAAACACGAAACGAGGCATTAGACAATGGGTCATCTTGTGTAAGATTGAACAGTGCCTGACAATAATGTGAGAAGTATTGACAAGATCAAAGCAAGATCAATACATAAGGAGAAGTGAGTTTGAATGTAGTCATGGCAAGATGAAATCATCATCTTGTTGGGCCATCATCTGCAAGCTAGACCAGAAACAAAACCGCTTCCCTGCTACAGTACTGCTATCGTGTCATTGTATGATACAATGGAATTACCCAATACTGCTCAATTGATTGGCTGTTGACAACACCAATAAAAGACCAAGCTCAACTACAGTATGAGACAGTTGCATTATTTGCAGCCCTGACATCAGGCCTTTGCTGCCATCACTATACTCTCATTATTGTATGTGATGCACTGGATGGCTTACGATATGGCCATCTTTATTATACCCGCATTTGTACCCACGTTGTCATTGAAGAATGAATCGTTATATGACGAATCGTCCATACTGAACGGATCCACCATTGAAAAAGAGGTTCAATCCACCAATATTAACAAGGACTCTAATCAATCATACCTCCCTCGCCCAAAGGACCATAATCCAAAGAAGAATGATCAATCCGCATGGAAGACCTTGTGGAGAGATCAAATCTCAGAGGCTTCCGTCGTAAAGGGTCAAGATATCGCCATGGACAAGAGACAAAAGATTTGGCCACAAATTCTGAACCAGACGCAAAGCACCGATACAAAAAGTCAATTGGGCGATTTGAAAGTCTATTTCTCTGTACACTGAAAATGCCCGCAACGAACTCATCTCAAATATGCTTCAGGCACAACAAAATGGACGCAACTTTACAATTTTTGCCAGCGGTGGCTCCTTGACTGCCGGAGCGGCCAAACACCAGGAATCCGCACCCGACGGTGCCCGATATTACTCCAAGTTGGCCAGCTACCTGAACATGTTGTTGCTCACAACAACTAGTACCACCAGCAATCAAAGTAGTGTCGTCGAAAAGCAAACCACCACAGTCCAGGCGATTGGTCAAGAACACGGTGCCAGGACTGGTCTGCATACCGCCATCTTTTTTGACTCGTTTATTCCTACCGATACCGACTTGTTGCTCTGGGAGTTAGAGTTGATTTTGGAAACCCCCAAGCAAACGTTGTTGGTGTGGCTTCAGGAGGTTAGCAGAATGAAGACTCCGGCCAAGGTGATATTATTGTACTACTGGGATACTTTGTACACTCCTAATGAAACCACCAATGAAATTGGGTGTCAAGTGTTTCAAGCCAATTCTGACATTGCAAGACAATTTGACTTTGTCCTTGGTCATGTCAATGTTGCGTCCTATATCAAAGAGGGAGACTTTCCAGGATGTAGCATTTGGAAAACATGTCCCCTACTGCCAGACACGCATCATGCGAGCAAGCTAGGGCATCTTGCAACGCCAGTCTACCATTGTGGTGGTACCAGTGAAAATAAGTCCTTTTCCTTGATTGCACCACTCAAACCAATGAAGGAAGTTCGAGTGGTCTTGCTTGTCTTCAAGAGGCACGGCAGCATAATTAAGGTTGCCGACATTGATCTGTTCCTAAATGGTGCCAACACGACAACGAATGGAGAACTGGTCCCTATGCAAGCATCCAAAGATCCGACCATTCATCAAGAGTGGCCGTGTCACTTGGTTGCTGGTTGGAGCGCATTTGCGGATACCTATTGGTATGTCTTTGCAAAGCCGCAACCATTGGTTCATTTGATGCGGCTCTGTACACCATCCAAAGTGAGGAGCACTCCAAAGATACAGACTGTTGCATTTTGGTGAAACTTGCGGGCACGTTGCTTCATTGGTATGTTTATTATAGTAACTCTACTGTAGCTTCTATTTATAGTTTCTAAATCACATTTGGATCCCGTGGGTCAACCGCACATGCATTGGATACTATATACTCGTATATATTATTGCAAGGGGATCCCGCAAAGATGTTGATTTGGCTTACATTCGGAAAAGTGCTTCGGCAGACTTCACTTTGGCAGTCAAATTCGATCGCGATCGATCCACTTCAAACCTGGCTTGCTGTTCTAGGAAAGTTTCATAAAACTGAAAACAGATTGTTTTCAAAGTAAGCAAAACGCACACCGACAAACTCACAATGGCATCTGGATTCAAGACTCGCATTTCCCGCAACTGTAGTGCCATTGGCAAGGTCTTCAAAGTTTACTACGCTGGAGCGTGATGTCCACACGGGTCAGAGTCCAGGGATGTGGCAATTGATATTATTCATGAAACATTCCCTGGCGCTTTGGTCCAGTGGGAACGTACCGTTGGGTTCCAACGCCAATCATGGTGATTGACGAAACAACTTCCGGGGACGAGGTTGCTTCCTTTGAGCAGGTTGACATGTCGGATGATTTCCTAGGCCCCGGCGTCCAGTTACTTTGCAAGATTCTGATTCAGTACAAGAAGGAGCACTCTTAGACGACCAGCTACTGCTATGTTATGCTACTGCACACATGCACCATCACGGTCAGCATACAAAATCTGAGGAATGCTACGGTTAGAAGGATAGAAGACCGATCTCTATACATTTAGAGCCGTATCTTCTTGACAGGCTTATGCCATTAACCAAACACCCAATCGATTTCCGTTGATTTAATGAGATATATAGCTTTAGGTGTGCTACTATTATGATGATTATAAAAATCTACTAAGATAGACCATCGATCCGAACAACTTCCCTCCTTCTTGGCTTGACGGGTTTCACAAAGCTTTTCTTCACCTCCTTGTAAAGTGATTTGCACAACGGCTTTTTCTTGCCCGATTTGGTTGTATGTTCGTCAGCGGTGCCAAAGCTACGAACACTAACAATGTCGTTGACAAAGGGGTGGGTGGCACTTTGTGCTGATAAGTAGCTTTGATCGTCTGCTTCAACAATGGGTCGAAGATGATGCTGTGCTTGCGGTGATGCTACTTGTGGACCGCCAAACCGACGAGTTCTTCTTTTGGCTCCTCGATGACGACGACGACGATGCGTTGGAGGACGGGAGGTCCACTCGCAAGCCTTCAATTTGTTGTACCAATGCTTCGTGCTCGCGTTGAAGGGTTTTGTATTGGAAAATAACATCTCGCAGATGCTGCTTTGCCAAATTTTGCTTCGTCACGGCGGATGTGACAGATCCCTTTGCTTGGCGCAGCTCCCCTTCCATCTCAGAGACCTTCCATCTAGCAGCGTCTCGTTCCTGGATCAATTTGACGTGGGCATTATTAGGGCTGTATGGATCGTCCAAAGTGAGAAACTTTTTGTATTCCTCGTGCAAGTCTTTGTATCGCTGAATGACATCCCTCAGATCGCCCTCTCGGTTCTTGAGCTTTTGTGCTGCCAGTTCTGCCTCGGTTTCTCTTTCTCGAAGATCGTTTTGTAGTGACAAGATCGTGTCCACTGCCACATCGTATTCTTGCTTCAATCTTATGAACTCTGCAGCATCATTTGAGAATGCGTTGGACTTGGTGGTTGGGCTCTGTAATTTTTGTCTCTTCCTTCTCCGCTAGTAGTCGAAGAGGCGCAGCTTGAAGTCAACATGGACACGCCACAATCAAAGGACTACTTATGTAAAACTGAGGCGACTCCTGGTTTATTCGATTCCATTGCCCGTGTTTCAATATTTGCTTCTGAGGCCTTGAATTCCCCAAGTATAGATTTGAAATGTGAACGCTGTCTTTCTTGTTCTTGTTGAGTCACTTTGGCTCTCTGCTTTGCAGCTTCGACCTGAGCCATCTTTTTCTTGACTTGGACACCAAGTGATTCAATTTAGATAGGTCGCCAGGGCTCAATGCATTCACTTTCTGGTGTAGTGGTCCCTTCGATTGATTGTCAGTTGAGTCAGTTTCATTGTTCGATTGGTGGCCAACCACGTTTCTCCCAGGCGAATCTGCCTTTCCAGCCACCAAAAATGCTGCTGCTGCTGCTTTGGTACTTGACTTTGGTGGTAAACTATTTCATGGACGTTTTCGCTCTCTTCATATTGCAAAGACCTCTCTTGTACTGCATCAGAGCAGGTTTTAGCTCCTTTTCACGAGCTTGGTATTGAATCTGCGCTGTGACAGCATTAAGCTTTATTTTTGCTAGTGCGTTCAGCATCTCTGCAATCTTATTCTTTGGAGAACAAGTCGATTCCTGTGCCTGACAAGACTTGAAGTCTTTAATGTCCAAGTCGTGCTCAAGGAAAATGGAACCAAAGAATGATGAACCGTCGCATGGGATTGGTTCTGCAGCGAACTCTGCACCTTCGCGGTGATGATGGACTTCCTTATGAACATAGAATAGTCGTCTTTGGTGCAGCAAGAAGTTTGAGATATGCCCCCATCCAATTAACTGGAAGAGATAGACTTGTGAGTTTTCGAGCAAAGAAATAATCAAAGAAGCAGTGCGCAGACATACCTCGGCAATACCTCGTTCGGCGGAACTTTCCTTCTGCAAATCTTCTTCGTCTCCTCCTGCATGATTGCTGCCTACTACTCTGTCGATTGGCGGAGATGCTTCCCGCGTCGACGACATCCCTGCATTGGAAAAGAGATCTCGCTCAAGATTCGATATTTTGTCGAATGCAATTTCGTATTTGGACTTTGGTCTGCTCTGGTTCTTCTCCAAGTATTCAGCTCTTGTTCGCAATTCCAACACTTTTTTCTCCAAGTTACCAATTTTGAAAAGGGATGCATCGTAGGAAGTTCTCAAATCCTGATACTGCACAACTGCTTCAGCCTGTGTGCGTCGGTACAACTCTTCCAAAGCCGCATACTATGTCTCCAAGTTCTGCCTATAGGTTGCCTTGGAATTTCCAGCCGACCTCTTTGCCGTAAGCAATGAGTTGTAGTCCTGCTGTAGTTGTTGATACCTTCTCTGAGCTTCCTCCGATGATTGACAAAGCGTTTGCTTACAGCTTTCCTTTTCATGTTTTAGTGTTTCTTCCAATTGCACAATTCGTTTCAAGGATTTGTCGTATTTCTCTCTGAGTTGTTCGAGCTTGCTAGCATTTTCGCTTTGCCAATCTCTGACGCTCTCAAAGTCCAGTCGGAGATCCTCGTACTGCCGTTTATTCTCAAGACCAATTTTGGCGGCATGTTCTTTTCTCAAACCATCAACTTGACAATCAATGGACTCAATCTGGAGTTCGTGTTCCTTCTTCAACCGCTTACACTCCTCTTCAAAGAATCGTTCCGAGCTAGACACCTCAGTTTCTAGTCTCATTAGTTTATCAGCCTGCTCGTCCTTCAGACACCAATTCCTGATCAATCCATATTGGGCCTCGATTGAAGCCTTGAGTTTGGTATCAAAATAGTCGTCAGCTACATCTGAGAGCTCAACATTAGTTTGGAAACATGGTTTTGGTGTTGCGCTAGGGCGAGCTGTTGATGAAGCGGAAGGCTTTGGTGTCGGTGGTGAGGTAGTGGGTTGCATCGTTGGTCGCACAGAAGGCTTGGTGGTTGGTGAAGACGTCGGTTCAGGTGTTGGTGATGAAGAAGGCTTGGGTGTGGGTGACAAAGAAGGCTTGGGTGTTGGAGCAGCAGACGTTACTTTGCTGGGATTGCGCGTAGGCAAAAGAGTTGGGTGACTTGTTGGGAATGGCGTCGGGCCAGGTGTTGGGAATGGTGTAGGCTCCAAGGTTGGACCAACTACAGGTTGTAGTGTTGGCATAGGTGTTGGCCTCCTGGTAGGACCTCGTGTTCCAATTGGAGTTGATGCTGTTGTTGACGACCTTGTGGGGTCATCAGATGTGGGAAATGTGACAGATGGTGCTCTGGTTGGACTCAACGAGGGTGCTATTGTCGGCGACCTAGTTGGGTTGTCGGTCGTGGGGTATGTCACTGGAGCCCACGATGGTCTCATTGAGGGCGATTCAGTTAGTGGGAAAGTCGATTGATGAACTATGGAAGCAATCTTTGTGAGTGAAGAGTGACTGAAAATTGGTGCAGAGATTTCTTGTGATGTACTTACCCGATGAGCTGGTGGAATCATTGATGTCGGGAACATTTCCCACAACAACAATGTTCTTGAAGGGTGACAGTAGCCCCAATCGCTCTACCAATGGTGCTTCGCAAAACATTGCCATGATATCTTCCAAAAAATCAGCAGCGGAAACAATACGTTGCACATAAATGTCAAGATGAATGACATAGCAAAGGCATGGACTCTCTGAATCCGGCAAACAATCAGCCTCAATGTTAACTTCAGCATCGACCAAAGCATTGACAATATAATTTTCAATCTGCAGACGTCAACGTTGATTGGTGCAACCCGCAAGAGACGGCATGAGGAAACGTTGAAGCATTTGTTTCAGTTCCATGGTAAGCAGCGGCATTTCTTCAGTCTCGGAATCTAAAATGACGTCCATCAAAATATTGTACTTTTGTACAGTAAGAGCGTCCTGGTCTGGGACAGGAGTGCCATTGGCAATCGCCGCACATGTTTTGCTTTCTTGCTGCGATGGGCTTGAGCTGGGGGAGCTACTTGCTTGTACGTGGAACACTGTGGTAGACTCGATACTTTTTACAGGTGAGGCCAAATTCAAGAGCTCCAGGGTCTTCTCATCTTGAAAGACATTCTTAAATTGCTCAAAATATAATCGTCCAGTTCCTTCCCGTCTTTTGAAATGACATCTAGCTCCATGTAAACAGGGGAACATAGATCTTCTACACTTGAGTTGCAGGTTGCAGGATCACCAATAGTCATCTTGTCGAGTATGGCATTGTCGATGATGAAAAAGTTGCTTTCTATAGAGACTTCACCATTGATATTGCATCCAGCAAGTAGTGGTAGAAACTTTCGCTGAATCTTGGCCTCCAGCTCGCCTTGAAGCCAAGCAATTCAATATTGACATTTGACCCCACAACAAAATTCATTTCCAATCCCACTTGGTTTAGGGCCGTGCTGTTCTGTCCTTCAAAATGCAATCCTTGGGATACCACAATGCAATCCTCTTCTGTAGGTGGGGCGTATTGGGTGACAAGTTGGCCTTCAGCGCTTGATTTTCCGGTGGTAGAACCTTTCGCTGAATCTTGGCTTCCAGCTTGCCTTGAAGCCAAGCAATTCAATATTGACATTTGACCCCACAACAAAATTCATTTCCAATCCCACTTGGTTTAGGGCCGTGCTGTTCTGTCCTTCAACATGCAATCCTTGGGATACCGCAAGGCAATCCTCTTCTGTAGGTGGGGCGTATTGGGTGACAAGTTGGCCTTCAGCGCTTGATTTTCCGGATTGCCAAGCGGCAATACCTCCACCAACAGCCACCACTAGGACAAAGAATGCAATGGCAAAGATACACTTTTTAGAGAGTTTCTTTTCCTCTGGAGGGGGCGTAGCAACGACAATCGGAAGATTTATCAATAGTCTTTCCATGTCTTCTCGCTGCCGTTCATTTCGTCCTTCCTTTCGTCCTTCTTCTCTCGCGTGTCAACGGGCGCGTTCTATTTCCTCATCCATATCTGGCGCCGCGGTAGCCTCCAGGGTTGGTACCGCGGCATCCGCTCGCTGAGAGGACCCAAATAGTGACGGCACAGTGTCATCTGAAGCCCCAGTTTGATGGGATTCATACAATGATGTTGGGAGGCGAATCGCTGGCTCCTCTGTGTCGATACTGTTGTTTCTGCTAGGATTTCGGCTTCTGCTAATGTGCTGCTGGTTCTTTCTGATGGTGGAGGCCAACCTTGTGACCGTCCCAGTGCCGGATACATCCTGCGCCCCAAGAGCCGTCAAATCGATCGAGTCATCGTCCGCAAATGTTTGCCCACTATGCGAACTGGGCACATTCATTTGGGATGCTTCCTGCTGTGGTCTGGTGCTGTTTCTGGCTGCTTTTCGGTTTTCACGCCCTTGAGAATGAGAACTCATAACGTTCAGAGCTCCAGGAGCAGTCTTGCTGGATGGTGAGTCCTGCTGCTTGATGCTTTCTCTGATTGCTCTTTTGCTTGCACGTCCATTTGAATGAGAACTCAAAACAATAAGAGCTCCAAGAGCAGAATTGGATGATGCTTCCTGCTGCTTGGTACTTTTCTGTTCGCTTTTCTGCTTTCACGGCCAAGGGAATGAGGGCTCGAACTTTTCATTGCTCCAGCAGCCGTATTTGATGGTGATTTATGCTGCTTGATGCCATCTTCCCTTGGTGCTTTCACGGCCATGTGAATGAGAGCTTGAACTTTTTATGGCTCCAGGAGCAGTAGCTGGCGGAGGCAAAGCGGTATTTGACCCGTCTGCCAATCAAAGTTTTTTGTTGGAATGTTTGGAATCAGGAGGAGCAGCAGGAGCAGCAGGAGCAGCAGGAGCAGCAGGAGCAGCAGGAGCAGCAGGAGGAGGATTCCTGGTTGATCCACTGCGCCTGGATCGATGCGGGGAAGTTAGATCAGGGCTGTTACTCCTACCGGTCGAGGAAGAACGATGGCGGCTGCTTGAGGGCGAATGACGATGTTTGTTACTCGATCCACGACTGGCAGATTTTCGTCTGGTAGAGGACGAGGGTGGAGAACTGGGCATAGTATTCTTGTTCTTATAGCGGTTGCTAGCCGTTGTCAATGAATGTATAGGTAGATAGTATGGACCTTTTTTGCGTTTTTGTCGTTTTGCGATGTGACAACAAGAAGAGTGAGATGCACAGAAAATCTGTCTGATCTGATCATAAAATGCCTGAAAGAACACACGTACACATACATACTACTCGTATTATATACGTGAATATGGGCTCCAAACGCCTCCAATTGGACAAGAAAATTACGCTACCATCCTCGCGCTAATTCAAATTTATGACTATCATGCTCGTGACAACTAGGCCCAAAACGGAAGGTTTTTCAATCACTTCAACTTAGGAAAATGACAATAATTGTTTTTAAAAACATGGATGGAATGGTCTTCGGCAATATGTAGCCTGATCTTTGTGTCTGGCGTCTCATCAGTTACAGTACCAGGCAGGGATGGTTCTTCTTGAAGAAAGATTGGAGAACTACAACAGCTTCAGAAACAATAACCGTCCTTTGAGTACCGTCCTTTATTGCACTTTATTTCTTTACTAGTCACAGATACTAGGCTATTTCATCACTGCACCACCAGGCAGGTCCATCAGCATGCCGCCACCACTTTTATATGTGCTGTTAAAACCTGGAATATGGAGCCTTGGTTGGGCATCCGATGAAAAAGAGGTGCATGTAGCTAGTTACTCGACTCCCATTGGAGAGACTTCGAAAGTCCCAGATTTCTGATCTTCCTGGAGCGCATATCCGCAAAGGTTTCTAACAACGCAGTAATCTCTCAATCTCAATATATAGTGTATCTTTTGACATAGAAACAAAAAGAAGTACTTTTACATCAAATCCAAACGCACACTCTCACAATATGGTAATTCAGCAGCGACAGCTGTGGTCTAGCTTGGTGGTGAAGCCGTCCTGCTCAACCAAAAATCCGAACGTTCTACCAATTCCTTGGCCGCCATGAAAGAAGGCTTTCCCGACGCCAAGTTGGTTCCCGCCCATCGAGTGTGATTTGCAATCATTCAAATCAATCTGTCAAGAATGCCGTTGCCAAAATCAAGTACAAGTACAAGAGTGGCATTTACTGTTTGGCCTGCAATATGCTGAGATCATGGCCACGCCCAACAAGGCAACCGTCGATGAATACAACACTCAACTGCAAAAAAACATTTTCTATTGATTGAAGAACTCATGCCAGGGGGCACTACTAGAAGCAGGAGCTGCTGCTCATGGAGAAGCTCGGATTGTCACTCATTCCAGTGGTGCCCGCGACATGTGTCAGACACCCAACAAGGGATTGGATGCCAAGTTCTTGGGCAAGAATGGAGGGACTTATTGGGAGGTGATGAACTCAAGTTATTCAAAGGCCCTGTCTTTTGAGCGATACTTTCAAAGTAAACTGGCCAACTCGGTTCACATGTATGGTCTGCACGAACGACTGAAAGATGGCAAGATCAAGACCATTTGTGCCCATCCCGGTGGTTCCGATACCAACTTGGTGGATCACTACAAGTTTGGATGGCCCAAACTTCTAAAGATGGTGCACTTGGACTTTTTGATTGAGAGGAATGATGGATCCTGACGCCAAATCCGGTGTCTTGTATGGGCCCAACAAATCAGGGATTTTGGGACCGGCCGTTCCAAATCCACCCAAAGAGTACAAGACGGATCCAAAGGCTATTGAAATGCTCTTTAAAGCCAGTGAAGAACTAAGCTGTAGCGTCATTCAAAAGTCAGTAGCTAGATTGGAAATCAAGTAATACGAATCTATGTTGTATAAGTTTTACGTGGTTCCTATAGATGGACGCTGATTATCATACACTACTATCGAACATACTATAATATACCTACCAGTATCTCCAGGACTATGATGGTTCATCATTTTCTAGAATATACTCGTCCGACAACACATTGGGAGCTTTTGATTCTTCTCAGCCCCACAATAGTATTCTATACCACATTTCCAATCTCCACCTCTGGTCCATTTTTGTATTTGCAACAATGTCGATGGTTGGCAGTGCAGTACCAGTAGTAGCATCACAAATAGTAGTATTCCATCTGGCGGCTCTTCTCGTCCCACAGTCCGCCGCCTCATGACTTTTTCATCGGCTCCAATTTTTTTTTTCAAACGAGTGCTCCATTTGCGGTTGCTCTTGCTTCCGTTTATATTTGCTTGAAGGCTCCTTGACTGCTACGTTTCTATTCTGTACTTTCTGTTCAATACTTGTATTATTCAGATTACTGAGCATGGATGTGGAATCTCACGCATCTACTTTACTAGGCCAAACCTGCACCATGTCGTATAGTCCTGTAGACTTTATACTAATGTCCATGTTTCAATGCACGTCCCAAGTAGTTCCTGACACAAGGCATAACCACACCCATCCATGTTTGGACTTAGCCATTTGTGCCATCGTCCGTCCTGTGTCCGTCTAGCGAACAAGCACTGTCCGACATTCTCCCCTGCTTGTTTGCTTCATTGTCATCGGCTTTCATCATGTATTCGTCAACAGCTGATCAATACTTTTCGAATGTAGGCTTTGTAGGTTTCTTTCTGAAGAGATCGCCCATCTGATCTCTTCGACTTTCCCACAATTGCTCCACTTCAATCAATCCTTGTTCTTTCAATTCTCCCATGAAATTTTGTTGCATCTCGATGTATCGAGTTTGTCTCCATACTGTCCAATTATTACACATATCATATGCTGCTTTGTTGTCAACATAGAGTCTCATTGGCAGTTGTACTCTCCCTTTATTCAATGAATTGAGAGTTTGCATCTCTGACAGCATTTCTTGGGCACACTGTACTGCTGAAAAGAGTTCAACTTCCGTCATGGAAAGAGCCACGATTGGCATCATCTTGCTTCTGTGGCTAACAGGTTCTCTGTTGATAAATGTCGACCATCCATTGATGCTTTGTTGCATTCCATCCTTGTCATGTTTGGAATCACTCCATCCTTCAATCACAAAAAGGTTTTCATCATGCCCATCACAGACATTTGCTCTCATCTTTCTCAAGCAATACTCTCTCTCAGAGTTAAACAGTTCCGATCGGGTCCACTTCTTCACATGAAACAACTTTCCGACTTCAAATTTCTTCATATTTTCTTTCTTGCTTCTTGGAGTAACAAGATCTTCTTTGCTCATTGCTAGCTCTTTCTCTTTGTCACTCATTTTCTCTTCATCACTCATTTTCTCTACATCACTCATCACAAGTTTGCTGCTTATCTCAAGCTCTTCACTATCAACAATCAAACAGTTGTTGATCTTTATTTCTCGTCCTTCTTCATTTTTATTGTCAATCTCTTCAATCCAGCCTGAAGTTTCTGAAGTTGCTGTACTAGAAGTCTCTCCCTCAGCAGCTTCAGAAACTTGACAGTCTCTAAATTGTTTGGCTTTCTCTCCCTTACTCACTCGGGAGGTAGTATCTTGACTCTTCATGGGTGGGATTTGGATATGTGCCATCCCGCATCCTAGCGGGTCCTCGCCCGTACGGGCTGTATAGTCTCTTCCTGGCATGTGATTCACGGCATGTTTGATTACGTCATCATTTGTCAGAGGTTTGATGTATATAGATTCCAAAGACCATTCCGTCACAGGTTGGGATTTTGATATCAAATCTCAACATCATGCCCTCTCTCTCCAATGTCAACATGCTGTCATCACCGCACAGTTTCCAACCTTCCATGAGTCGCTTGGTGATACTGAGTGTGTTGCACTTGTTGCCATCTGAGGAACGCCAAATTTGTCACACAGCAACCCTGGCGCGTCACCTTCTTCCTTTATGCCTGCAGTCCCTCCATCAGCGTTCTTGCACCCCTTCCGTCTTCAAATTTCACCACATTTTCAAGCTTGTCAAGATATGGCGTTGTGTCTACCGATGCTCCAGTGTCCGCAATCCAGATGTTGGGATCATTTAGCAGTTCGAAAATCTCATGGCAACTCAACATGCCTTGAGGGTCCCCCTTGATCAATTTGTCAGTTTCTATTGAGCACAAAAGGAGTTCAATGTTCGTGTGACCGGTCTCTTCGCCATTGCCCCCATCTTTCTTCTCATCTTGGATCTTCTTCTTGAACCATTCTGGCGCCTTGTGCGCATTCCTTTCATCCTGCCAACAATTCACCGCAATATGACCAACCTTGCCACACATGTTGCAAGTTCCGTTGTTCCTTTCGCGTTCTCTACCCTCAGTACATTGGAAAGCCATGTGACCCCTCTTCCTACAACGGTAACATATCACCTCTGCATTGTCCACTGATGAAAGTTCCACTTCTTTGGCTGTGAAGGTTTTCTTTGTCTTTGCTGCCGGGTACATGATACGCCATTGCGCATGCATCGCTTCTCGGATGTCCTCCAATGTAAGTGCATTCCCTTTGTTTCTTGTTTCTGCTGTGATTGTTGCACCATATTCAATAGGTGCAGCATCCAATACAATTGCAAGTAAGTCCTCCAGACTCAACTTCTGGGTGACATACTTATTCTCAATTTGGCTGATCTGTTCAAACAACCTGTTTGGATCATCATCTTTCTTCATGTTTACTCGATCCATCTCACGTCTCATCTTGACCTTTGACATCACATCACTAGGTCTGTATCGTTTGAGCAGAGTGTCAATCACCTTGTACGCAAGGCCACTTAGCCAATCTGCCATGACTGCATCTGCAATCATTCCCATCATTGAGGCTGAAGTGAACGCCATCGTCAGCGTTGCCATTGCCAATGAATTTGCATCACGCGACTTCTTCATCTTCTTTCCATCTGCATCATCTGCAAGAACTTCATCATCCTTTGGTGGGAGATCAGGATCCCTTGTCCTCTGGATCGCAATTGCGAATCCAGCAATCGTGGCATACGCCTTGAATTGCATCCACCACATCTGAAATTCACTTTCTTCTCTGTTGAATGTTGGGATATACATCCTCTTGGATTCCGAAGCCAACATTGCCTCAGCAATCCCCAACAACAACAACATCATCACAACAATCAACATGCTGCCTCACTCGACCAGTCAAGGGTCTCCTCGTTTTATGCTTCGAAGTATACTGGAAGGCTCCTTGACTGCTACGTTTCTATTCTGTACTTTCTGTTCAATACTTGTATTATTCAGATTACTGAGCATGGATGTGGAATCTCACGCATCTACTTTACTAGGCCAAACCTGCACCATGTCGTATAGTCCTGTAGACTTTATACTAATGTCCATGTTTCAATGCACGTCCCAAGTAGTTCCTGACACAAGGCATAACCACACCCATCCATGTTTGGACTTAGCCATTTGTGCCATCGTCCGTCCTGTGTCCGTCTAGCGAACAAGCACTGTCCGACAATATTTGAATTGTGATTGCCTCGTGCAAAATCATCGTTGCCAGTATCAGAATCGATGACGACAACAACGACAGCGTATGCATCGGCACGTAGTCCAACACAGTCTTGCCACAGCAGGGCTGTCACTCCAAACAAATCAATCTGCCAATTCATCGTATTCCAAGTAGTGCGATGGTAAGAATCAGAATTATCATCAGTATTATCATCGAGGACAGACATTCAATTGTCCAGTGTCCTACTCATAGAGTAGTAGCACATGGTACTGTAGCGTCTTTGGGAATAAAAAAGGAACAATCCTCATTAATTGACCCAAAATCTGATCGTAAACAGAAGCATGTGATTGCTTTTGCCTTTAAGGAGAACAACTTGCGAAGTATATGTTTCGATTAACAACTTTGTTTACGAAGCCGACGTGGTCATCTCGTGGTACTTGAATTTTCTCACATTTCTGAAACAACGCGACCGTAGGTACACACGTCACACGTACCTACAGCACGAATAATACTTTCACTTTTGTGGGAACGCGCACGGACTGCGGTCCGTCAGCGGCTATTGTAATTTTTTGAAAACGAAATCGCAAATGTCATGTAACAATGATGATCCATGATACATCCATGATAAATGCTAAAATGATACATCCATGATACATGCTAAAATGAAAATGACTGTGACTGTCACAGAAGCTACCGCACAGGGAATATCAATCGAAAACAGTAGTACCATAATGTGATGGTTGAACACTTATCGATTTTCAAATTGGTGTCGTCTCCATCATAAAGTTACCAAGATTTATGGGGATTGTATGCTTAGTTTGGTCCTGTAGTTGGAGACGGAAACTGCGCAAAAGGCCTTCATCTCTCACCACAATTTGTATTGGAGCTTGGTACCAAATTAGAGTATTTGGAAGTTTTGCTTCTAAGCATTCGTGTGTGCTGCCATTGGTGGTGGCTTTCCAACCAAGAAAAAGATGACACAACGTGAAAAGCCGGTGCCGGCCTCCAATTGCTGCAAAAGATGGCAATTCCAAACCAACCCAAAGGACCTTTGCTATGAAAACAAGATCATGAATGCACTCCCAATTCAGTGCTCCAGTAGACCAATGATCGATTGGCGAAAGTTCCAACAGCTTGGCAACAAATGTTTGGATACTTTCTTTGGTGGTGAGGCCTTTATATTTTTCTGATATTCCATTGAGGATTTCAGACAACGACATGGCAACCCCAGCTTTGTCAAGTTCGGCAGTATTAAGTTTGGCCATTAATGCATAGGACTCAGCATTGCACTCCTTCCATCCTTGAGAGGCTAACTTGTCACCCCATGGCATTACCAGGGCCTCTTTCTCTTCAAATTTTCCTTTGGTTGCATATGGCACCCGAGTGAATTCGTGGTCCTCTCGTTCCTTTGTTCCTTGATTTCCCAAATAGAAAGACAGCAAACTTTTGTGCTTGTGCTCGTCGAACATCTTAGATATCGCATTACGATCTAGTCCTCGGGCATTCCATTTGGGCTGTGCTCCAATCTGAAATGAAAATGCTCCCTTCTCATCTTTATGAGTAACCAAGGCTTGTGACACCATGGCCAACAGGATGCTAGAAATTGCGCCATATGAGGACGCAACAGCGATGTTTTTAGTTGTCACTGGTGTCTCCTCCCGCCCATTATCTAGCTTATGCAACCTGAAACAACCCTTTGTTTTTTCATCTACCATCATAGCATAGCAATTCACGGTAATGCATTCAACTGCAGCCTGGGCGTCAATCCAATTGGGGATTTTCATGTTGGCGATGTCATTTTTGGAAGCATTATGCTAACTTGGAGGAGGATAGAGGATCTTGTTTCCACCATTTTCAACATTAATAGGTATTCTTGTTTTACTGGTCGAAAATAGGCGCCGAATGTAACAGCACTGTTTCAGCTATAGACCTATGCTGTCTTCTTTTGTTCCGGCTTATCTCAGGCTTCGATTCCCTCATCTTTGATGTCGGTAGAGTTACAAAGGTCAATTGGAGCTGTCGCCATCGTGTTTGTGGTTGTACTACCAGCCAAAACAATTTCCTCTTTGATAAAAGGAAAACCAAATGCGTCACTTGCCGTCTTAGAATGCGGTTCTGAAAACAGTGCATGTCTTGTGCGGGGGTTGGAAGCATAAACCTTTGCCCACTTGTCCGTTCAACTGATCCTAGTATGGATCGTTATGACCTACAACGATGCAAGCTGATAATCCACCTTCTTGGTCCAACAACCAAGTCAGAAGTCAAGGGACCTGCTGGGCAAGTGGAATACAAAGTGCATGATGGCAAAACTATAGATCAACTTACTCTTGATTGCTCAACTGAGATAACTGACGAGCAAAACCAGCTACTACCTCTTGGATTCATTCGCCGTCGAGTTCAATTACGAGCCCTTGAATGTGATTCATAAAGCGAAGGAATTGCAGAAATGGCCGGTCTTTACCTGCAGCACAGGAAGAATGGCAAGAAGACGAGTTTGGTCTTACAGACTAGAGAGTTTTGGACATACATGTTGAATCAAAACGAGTGCCAAGGAAAACCTTGGAAATTAAAATCTGGGTTTCCATTGATGACGAGGACCCAAGTATCGTGACCCAAGAGGATATTTACGAATTAAAAGAATCTACAACTAATATGTATGCTACCCCCCAAAAGGCAAAGGGCGCGCGTAAAACTGGACACGATAGGCAAATTGAACCTGCAGTTCGTAGAGATTAAATACAAAGGTACTTCACCAAAGTGTACTCAAGCCCAGAGTCGAAAATGTATCATGCATTCACAGCAGAGCATATGGAATTTCTTGTTGAATTCTTCCGATTGAACAACCTTTCTGACTGCCATGTCGCGATTGACGAAAGATACCCTTGTCATGATGGTGATGAAAGCTCTTGGTCAGATTTTGATGTCCTTCCACATCCAATAAACCAAGCAACTTGCGATTTAGTTCGCTTCAACAATTGTATTCTTGAACTTGGAAATTATGCTCCGTCAAACCCTGCGCCCTTCCTACCCGCCCACTGTCGTATAAGAAGACGAGTCAAGAACCCACCACATCTGACGGTATGGCTATCTCCATGAGGGATCATTTTGCTCTACCTCTTATTGGAGCACTCCTCTCTCCATTACCAGAACAACATGATCACGGGAGTGGTCCTTGGGAAGTGGTGGTGGATTTGGATGAAGTGCCAATGAGTGACATATTTTGCCGCTTTTATGACGACATCAAATCCATTTCGATTTTGAACGGGGACGCCAAAGAAGCATTAAAGAACGGAGACAAAGAGTGGTATGTCAAACTTGCGCTCACAGCAGAGAAAGACGACATCAAGGCAACCCTCAAACTAAAACTATTTGAGAAGGAGTCTGTGGTTTCAATTTTCCAGTCGGTCTATGCGAAAATCAATGATCAGCATCTCAAATTGTTTGTTTGGTTGTATGCAAGAGATGTTTTCAAACTAGGCGAAGGTGACGAGGTAATGAACCCATATGCTGATTTGTAGTGCAATCAATTGGGGATAAGTCAAAGACAATTTGAAATATGTATTGAATAGCCTAGCTAGACATGCCAACTGCTAAGAGAATTGTTGCTGTTGCTAAACCCATGAACAACAGGCACTCTTCGTTGTCATTTTGCTCATACTTCTCACAGAATTCTTTAGTCCCAGGATACAAACAGTGACAAAAAGTGTTCCTTGCAGCTTCGGGTGTGACAAGAGAAAGTGCACCAAAGTGAGCATCGATCATATATAACCTTACTTTGAGTTCCGAGCAAGCCCCTTCTTGTATGTAGAAAAAAAATATTCAATTGGATTGATATGTGGCGAGTACGGCGCGGTGAATAGCAGCATAGCCCCAGCAGCACTTATCATCTCTTCAATTTGATCAGACATGTGTATTGATGCATTATCCATAATGACAACGCTATTTGGTTCCTTCTCTGTATACTGTCCAAGAATTGGGACAAGTCTCTGCTCAACGAATTGTCCAAACCTTTCTGTATCAACCGTGCCTCGATTCTCAAGGTTTTCATTTCGATGGACTATTTCACAAGCTTCAGGTAAAGAGCCAAATATATTGGCAACACCAATCATGGTGAACTGTTGAAGGAAGTCTTCTTCAAAGAAGGAAGGAACCACAGTTTCAGTTCCTCGCAACCCCCAAGCACGGCGTCGTCGACTGGCATTACAACTTTTGTGCGTTTTGTCAATAAGAAGTATTTGTCGGGGATCCAACACAAACTCATTGAGACGCTGGTAGAAGAACGCCTGTTCAACTTCACTGGCTTGTCTGGCACGGTGCACAGCAACTTTCAAAGAATATCCACGGGAGTACATTCGTTTCCAAAGTGTTGCCCGGTGCCAAGTTGTGCCTGTCAACTTCTTCATCTCTGTCACCATCTCATCGAAATAAAGTTGTGGTTGCTCTGCAATTAATCTTTCTAGGCACTGATCGTCATTTGCAGCAAACGATGACCGCTTTGATGGGCCTCTCTTCCAAGCCTTCTTTCGAGACGGGATGTGGCCGAATTGAAGGTAGTACGTTACCCTGTGACCAATGATGTCTTTCACATCATTCAAAATTCTTTTTAGAAGCGTACTATCCATTCGTCTTCCAGATCGGTGACCATAGTCCCAGATTTCGCCTTGGGAGTATTCAAATGCCTTCTGGATGGAAGTCCGTTGGACAAATTTTGCTGAAATGGCATATCCTCCGCTACGTCTGGGAACATGAGTTTGCTGCTCAATTTTGGGTGCGTTCTTGATAATATTGTGCTGCCAATCGGTCCAATTGACTGCCAGATGGCAGAGAATACGTTGGCATGCTGCAAAATGGGAAGCAAAACAGGACATGAGAAGCGAAACAATATAGGTGAGATTCGGCGTTGAAAATACTGAAACATCAAGCAGCTCCAACACCACAAGTACAACTACAACGACAAAGAAACTTTGCCGAGGCTTCACCCATATCATAAAGATGGCATTGGTACCGTTGCGATGTCATCGAAAGGCGAATTGACCTCATCGTCATTGCTAATCGGTCAATGATAATGAAATGACGATGAAAATGGACCCTTTGGGGCATAAATGAAGACTTTTTCACCGAATCCATACAAACTACTTACATCAGAATAACAAGCAGATAAAGACGAAGCTATCGACACCTTTCTTGTCTTGTTTGCTTCGGTATTGAATACAAACGACGCTATCTCGTGAACTATAATATAGAGGGTTTGTGTGTTGTTTTGGGGGGGGGGGGGATCCTATATATAACGCCACGAAATTGGCAAATATACTGTCGAACAGAACCAAAATAAAATATACTATATACCCGCACTCAGTGATTGAACATTCGGACGAAGCGATATTAGAATGTCCAGCCGAGTATAGAGTTCGAGGCAGCGCACCATAAATGTTCAAGCCGACGGGGACTCAGTGAGAACAACTTATCAACAGAATGCTGTTCCTCGTCTTTTCAAATAATGAAACTTTGAACCTATTTCTTGGGATTAAAATCATACTGCGATGGGCCTATCGAAACCAATGTTGTCTGGTGGATGATATCGCCATCGCTGAATTGCTCAATCAACTTTTCTCCAAAGTTTGTATAGATGAACGATGCAACTCCAAGGGCAGGTAGTTCGGCCTTTGTCCAAAGGAAATGATGAATAACAGCTCGAACACAAGGCCTTGGTTCTCCAGCTTTGCAATCTGAGCTGCTTCGTGTCACATTCATAACTTCAACATTGGCAATAATATAACGAGTTTCGGAAAAGGTGCGGTTGAAAAAATCTTGGCTGAGATCATTGCATCCTACAAAGGTTGGAACAACTGAGGTTTCAAAACTTTCCTGAGTTTTCAACAAGACTCTTTCGATGGAGTCTGCCCATGAAGCATCAAATGAGACATCGAGTGCACAGTCCATTGTCAAGGTGAAGTACTCATCTTGATTCGGTACACCTGTTCCATTGATCACTCCATCACATTCTTCAGGAGTTGGTGGCGGGTAAGTAAAGTAGGCACTCGTTTCAGCTTCAGGCCCTGCTGAATGCCCCGCTGGTACTGGAGCAAGCAAAAAGTACAGACCCACCGCAACCCCAGAAATTACGACGAAAAGAAGCGCCAGTATGATTAAAATTCTCTCCTTTGTACATCTCTTGTTATGCCCTGGTCGTTCCGAGGTCATCTTTCGTTCCATGGACAGCCGCCTTTCAATCTCCAGATTCATTTGTTCTTCCATTTCTTTCATTTTCTCTTGCTCAAATGTCTCGTCCACAGGAACGGCTTCTAACTGCATAGTGGATGAACCGTAACCACCACGCCCAATATTAGATCCATTATCATCATCGCTATCTTTGTTTCTGTCTGATACGTTCCTTCCTGATAGATCAACGGAGTAGGCCCCAGGCTCCAAAGAAGAGTTTGAAGGTTGGCGATCGGTCGTCGTGGCAGCAGATGCTCTTGTTGTTGTTGAAGGTGAAGGTCTTCTCATAGCAGAGAGCTTGGAACGCTGATCATGGATTTGTTGGATCGTAAGCTCACCGCTCATCATATCATCGAAGGTAGAACTCTGAAAATCCATTTCACTTGATTCCCCTCCAAAATTGCTGTATCGAAACCGTTGTTTATTAAGAAGAGAAGATTCATCGTCATCCCTCTTCGAAAACCTCTTTTCCAGCTTGGAAAGGACAGTGGCGGGAACCTTCACAGAACCTGTCATATCGACAGCTGCCACAGCTGGTGTTGAAGATATTCGGGTTTCTACATCATCACATCCATGTTGTCGTTCTTCTTGCTCATCATCATCCTTATTCTCAGGGTCTTCGCTATTGATATTGTTCGTAGCATCACTGCTCCCTTGCGGCGTTTCTCCTTCGACTGCCGACATTTGATTGCTGTGGATGCTGCTTTGTTCTAATCCAACGAACTTTTTATTCTATGATGATATGGCAATAACATGATTACAGCGAAACTCGTCTGCGTTATCTTTTGAGGTATAATACGTACACGTGTGCTATGACGGCTGCATGGGAATATATTAATATTTTATATGTTATAATATTCATACACGAATACATTGATTTGCTCATAACGAAAAGCGAATAATGTTGCATAGCGCTTCGACCAACAGAAGAATGATACATACAGTTTATTATACCGGTATATACTGACCGGTGCAAGGGGTTGCATCTTGAGTCTAATAGAGATGATGCTATCTTGCGATTTGCGAGTCCGAAATTCAAAATCCTTTCATAATAGTAAGGCCCAATACCGAAAAATACCAGAAATAGGAACGACACCTTTACAGCATTGATTCCAGAGGCAGCATCGCTCAAGTTCAATGAAAGGAAGGTTAGATACGGATACAATATTAGTCCTAATATTGCTCTTGAACTAAAGGATCTGGATGATTTTGTTGTTGCTTTTTTATTTTAATTGTCACCAAAGGACTCGATATTGACCAAGGATGCCGCGCTAATCATATCGCTGCTTTCAATCTCTTCGACCACCTCGTAGCCAAAATCATTGAGCAAATGCGTCAAGAAGGCATTGACTTTGGTTTCTTCTCTCATCCAAAGAGCCACATTAATGTAGAAGCGAGCACAAGGTCGACGTTTGCCGGAACCACAATCTCCGACGTCTCTGGTATTTCTCACAAACCCATTGACCACCTTAAAGTTGGCAGCCCGAGCTGCATCATCGTCTGGTCCATTGATGCATCCAGCCAAGGTTGGAAGTACCAAGGATTGAAATTTGCTCTTGACTTCGGCCGTAAGGTCTGTCACAGTTTCCCATTCCTGATAGGTGGAAACATCGACAATCCAATTCAATCGCATGACTGGATAGTCATCTTCATTGGGAATGGCATTTCCATTGATCACTGCCTGACACTGATCCGAAGAAGAAATGACAAAGTTAGCACCCTTATTGTCAGACGATCCTCCAGCAAAGTAACCAATGACCAATCCAATCCCAACAATCGCAAGGACAATCCCCATCAGCATTGGAACTTTCTCACGCCAGGTGTAATTTCGAATCTGGTAGGTAAACTTTTCCCAGTGACTTTTCTTTTGAAAGGTGTGGAACTCTTCCATGAATTGGTCTTGATGGAACTGATCCTTGGCACCAGGAGTACCGATCCCACCAGGTTGTTCCAGATCTTCTACCGAGTCATCATCATCGTCATCATCATCATCCGTCCCTTGTCGCTGTTGTTGTGTTGGTGAACCCAAAGCTTCAGTGGTGGGTGAATCTTCCTCGTGATTGGATTTGGGAGATCTGGCATCTGGAGGATTGGATAACGCCGAGGTTGGTGATACGGCTTGCGGTGACGATACTTGAACTTGTGATACTGGTACGGATGCTGCCTGCGAACCGATTGGAGAGGATTGTGGTGAGGGAGCAGGTGGAACTACCATGGCTGGAGTTTGAGTATGAGCCGATGAGGTGGGAGAGGCCTGTGGTGTTGTCTGAACCGAAACAGGGGGCATTTGAGGATGATACGTCTGCATTGCAGGATGGGGAAGTGACGAAGGAGAGGCCTGTGGTGATCCCTGCATTTGGTTTGGTAATGGTTGGGGAACTGGACTGCCTTGTTGAAAAGAAGGCACAGATCCAGTTGGCGAAACCTGTGGGGTTGTTTGAAAATGCATTGGTTGCTGCTGAGGGTATTGTTGCATGCTGCCAGGATGGGGAGCCGATGAAGGCGATACCTGTGGTGAAGCTTGCTGCATTGGAACTGGCAGTTGTTGATGCGGTGCTACCATTACTGGAGTAGGCTGGTGATGCATGAATTGAGTTGGCGATGCCCGAGGGGATGCTTGAAGTGGGAATGCTTGTGATTGTGGTGGTGTCTGATTCATCTCAAAAGGATTCATGGGCGATACCTCTGGTGGCGACGCTTGCATCGGAGTTGTTGATGCCTGGACGTGGGCGGCGGAAGTAGGCGAAGCATGTGGTGATGACTGAACCAATAATAGTGGATCTGGCTGCTGTTGCTGTGGAACGGATGAAGCTGGAGATGGAAGAGGTGGTGACGTATCATTCTGAGGTTCTAGCTGTGGTAGTGGAAACAGTTGTGGATCCGAGAGCGGAACCGAAGATTCATTTGGCGGTGGTGATGCCTGTGCGGTCGTCCCTGACCGAGTTTCTTCCGTTGGATCCTGCTGTGAAATAGCTGATTTGGCAGCCGCAGTGGCCATCTGAATTTTCTCCTCTTGAATCATCTGCCCTGGGGATTTCGTTTCGTCACTTTCTTCCACTGTGTCGACAACTACCGGGGTAGTCTCTTGATCTTCTTCAACCGCAGTTGACGAATCCTTCCCATTTTCTTCAGCATTGCTTTCCTTCACTTCATCCGCATCCTCTCGGTCTTCATCAGTTTGCTTCACATTGTCTTTAGCACTTATTTCCAGAGCATCACTCTCACTTGTTGGTGAATCATTGGACTGCTCTTTCTCTGATGCAATGCTATCGGCGTTTGGTGAAGCATCTGAAGGAGGAGGAGGAGGAGTCTCTTCAGGTGATTCAACACCGTCCTCCACAGTTGATGGTGGTGGACTCTGTGAAGTCTCATCGTCCTCCTCCTCCTCGTCCTCCTCCTTTGGCACATTTGAATCTTGTAAAGCGGATTCCTCGTCATTCTTGGAAGCAGGGTCTTTGTTAGTCATGTCGTCTTCTTTACTATTATCCTCTGACATGGCTCAAGCTAATTTTTCTGCAACGAAGCTAGTGTATATTGAATATGGTGCAAGGAAGATAGATGTTGTCTGTGTGTACTTTACTGTACCGGTAGCTATCAATGTAATACCTATTAGATTGTACCCGGTATGACGATACCGGTAGCCTTCTTGGTCGGAAGATTATGACGATGTCGCGAATGACACGTGCTCAAACGTCGCTGGCGCGGATCTTTAGGGTATTCTCTTTAGGTATCCAAACGTCCGCCAAACCATGCGATAAAATTTGAATACTTTTCGTGCCAAAACACTCCAATGATGATCATATGCGTGCAGCCTACCGTATACATATGTGCGGTATGCGATGACACAAAATTATGATGCGGTGATGAGAAATACTTTTTTATGTTGAGGGCAACGAAAACATGTGCCTGTTAAAGCAAAAGAATACCGTGGCAAACTCTGCTTTGAATGATTGATTCATTGATCTATTGCTCAAAGAAATATGACTAGTTTACTGTTCCTTCTGTTGCATGAATGAGTGATGAGTCAGTCGGTCACCTTTTTTCGGATGGACGCACCCGCTACTATATATATATTTATGTATGTATACCGGTACCATCATATACGATCCAAGGTGTCAGTGATATATATTTGATCATGGAGTGAAGCTTGGTTTCGCATGCTGTACTGTGGGATTGTGGTAATGAATGAATGAATGAACGAATGAATCATCGGATGGTGGAAGCTTTCATTCAATGGAGGGTATAATAACACGAAAACAATGTTTCCGTATGAACCAATCGCAGTGAACGGGGGAATCAATCCTATATCCGTTCAAGCATCGATTCAATCCTTCCACAACGAATGAATCATTTCATCATGTGCACATGAGCTCTTTCTTGAGGGATTGATCGCTGATGATCATATACTATATCGAGGCATTTGGAATTTACTCGGTGCTTTGGGATGTTATGCTATTATCCAATGCCATTACAATTCAGTTTTTCGCAAGGTTGACGATGATTCATTCATTCATTCGTCAAATTGCCGGCAATCACCCTATAGTTAGATATGATTCCATACAATGCCATTCATTATTGTCTGACTGCGCTGAATCATCATTCCTTGGAATAACGCAGGATATAATCCGAACTGGAAGCACGCAGCACAAATGAATGATCTCATGCACTATACTGTAGTAGCTTGATTCGGCGCTTAGATTGGATACGCTGAAGAAAGTTGGTTACCATGCACATCTATCATCATGAAGACTTGGTGCGTGAGTCAGTCGTCAATGGAACTGGAACTGGAACTGATTTGGAGTGATTCATTATTTTTTATATGTAAAGATGATTTTGGAATTTATTAAAATTTAAAAGGCTCCTGAAATAATGTTCTCTAACAGAATCAGGATCAGGATATAGTAATAATATATAATATGTAATACATTTTCCTTTTTTGAAATGGCCCAATGCCAACCAGAAAGCAATAAGTCAACCTGCTCTCGCAAAAGGTAACAATAGTAGTAGAAGTAGTAGTACACGTGCATTGTATGGCATCAACGAATGAAGAAATCAATGAATGAAGGAAGGAAGCCAATCGTCATCATCATCATTGTAGATTTCCTAAAGTCCAATGACTTGTGTAGTCTTGAGATGGAAGGGAAATCGCTGCTGCTGCAGTTGTTGTTGCTGCTGCTTTTGACGGAAATAGCGGTGCGTGGCATGGATGGCATATCTCCAATGTACCTCTCCTACGAGTTGTCGGAGGTGGAGTTCCAGAGAGGTGACCAACGGTGTGGCATCCCCCATCTTATTGTTTCTCGTGCATTGCATGACGAGAACCTTTGCTTGTAGCTTCAGATGGAAAGCTTGAGAGACTTCCAACCTTCGTAGTAAGATCTGAAGGAAGACCACAAATCGTTCCCGGTTCAACCGGCTTTCTTGTTGGACCATGTTGAGAGGAAGTCTTGTGCTGCTTCTGCTGCTGCTGATTGGGAGAACCTGCTGTTGTGCTGCGGTCATGTTATTTGTGAATGTGTTTGAGTTGTTTGATTCTTGCTGTGATAGGAATTGTGAGAGGAGATTGCGATCTAGCATCTTGACTTGATTCACTATTAGCCTACGAGCCTACGATCGATATACACAATAATAAGATCCCTGAAATCAATGTTTGGTTCGGAAATGTGCAATTGCTTCGGTTCACTATTGGTTCTTGTTGAGTGGATTCTTCCCCATTCCCTCCGCAGTTCTCGTTTTGCATCAGTCAATCTATCAACGTCATCCCTTGTTTATTTAGAGAAAAAGGCCATTGTCTTCTTCGCCACTAACTTTTCCTTAAATGCGATTTGTCCTCAATCCGAACCTTTCGCTTGGAATTCTCATTTTGCCCATATTTCAATGATTCTAAGCCTGCGTTTCCAAAGTTTTCGAGGAACTACATCGCGAACAGGGTGACGTCAATGTTTAAATTCAAAAAAGGGGTTTCCCCGTGACAGGGTTCGGATTGGAATAATATAGTAATATGTATAAGTCGCGATCCAGAATTTGATTGATAAGCACACTTGCAAATATACGGTATCTCTACCGCATTGTAGTGAAGGTGGTGGTTGGAAATACAATCGTGTGTCAGCTCTCATATTTATAATGGGAACACGCACTCATGCTCCAGAAATCCCTGATCGGAATGATATGCACTCGCCTGGAAGGGCCGAACCAAATGGGAACACATAGTTGGCGTTGTGTATTCTCGTTTGGTGGCATCACGATGAGAAAGGAAAGGAAAGTCGTAGCGTGCCAAAAGCCGAACCTGCTAGTGTCATCAGGATAGTAATATAAGGCCTTGCTTGTGTTCGGGATGGGATCGTATTGAGACGATGGTTTGATGAGTGAGTGGTGCGATGGGCGGGATTGGTGAGACGATGATTACGAATGAAGAATGATGGTCCAAGAATGTAAGCAAGGACCATTGCAACGTTGGGCATTGTTGTGTTAGGATTGTGAAAGAGTTCACACTACGACAAGACTACACGACAGATTCCCACGCCTTTTTACTCTCATCGTTGCAATGAAGGAACGAATGGCTGAATCAATCAATCAATAATCACTTGCGGCCATAGCCATGCCACCATGGTCGTGCTTCAGACTATTGCGATCATATTAGTGGTCACGACCCCAAGAATATGTCGATGGCACCTGCAAGAATATTGTTGTTCAATGGCCATACAAAGTTGCTATGGGTGTGCTGAATGAATAGCAAAATGGTTGGACTAATAAGCCAGCAAGCAAGAGCATTGAACATAAAATAACAACGGGGTTCAGTGTCAAAGCAGCAAGTATATTCTTGCTTCAGCAAGAAATCCATTTCAGCCAAGAGTATTCAGGGTCCTTCCAACCTTATAGTTTCTCGTCTCGTGATGATGGCTGCTGGTGAAATCTCACAGTCTCCTTTCTTTTTTTGGGTGCGAAGATGGTTGTTGGAAAAATATTACTCTCGCACATGAGCATGGGCCTCGCTTCGAGAACTAAGGCCTACAAGCAGGCTGATAGCGGCAACGAGCTTCGTTGTAGACTCTAATCTTTACTCCATAATATCTGATTCGGGATTTTGAGACATCACATTGTGCGATAAAACCAATTTTTATTTGTTTGGCGATAGTCATTGGGTAATGCAGTGATAGAATTGTCGTATTTCGCTATTGTTATGTTGCTAAGAAACCGGAGACTATGGACGTACAAGATCACAATAGAAGATACGAATTGCTTCTCATGCAAAGCTATTATAATTAATGCGCAATGTTCGGATGATTCATTCTGTCATTGGTCGATTACACATTTATTTACCATAGGTTTGCTCCTGTTTCTTCAGGCATTTGTGCATGTCACTGGTAGATTTCATTGGCTTTGTGTTATCGACTTGCATGATGTTTTTCTTCACAGCGTCAATGCAGGGGCCACCGCAATTGAGATTTCCACTTGGGAAGTAACGGCAAACTTGAACCGCTGTTTCCCAGCCATCGCTGCAGGTACCAGTGGCATAACCGCAACCAATGGCTGTAGTGTCCTTCCAGAGCACTTGAGAGGCATGATCTGCCATCGCTGGATCACCAGCGATTTCCTCTTCAGTCCAAGCAGTGAGCACGCCGTCGATGTTTTTGACTGGGGGTCTAGGGTCACTCTGCTCTTGGGCGTTGTTCTCTCCTTCCGTTCTACACTTCTTTGTCAAATGGGGGATGTTGCCACATTCCTTGGCAATTAGATGATCCGCCCAAGCTTGAGCCTGAGCGGCAAGGTCCTCGTTCCATCCAACTGCCTTGTACTCGTAGCCCCACTCTTTGGAATACTTCTTGCGGCGTTTGTTGTGAGCTTCGACCCATTTGGCTGCATCGCCACCAGCAGCTCCCGGAGCAACGGTGGAAGCTGTGACTGCAACAGGATGGGCAGCATTGGCGGTGGAGTTTGAAACCGAACCGCCAGTGCTGCCTCCTCCACAAACACAACAGGCTTCCGTGACATTTTTGTTGTCTGTTCCGACGTCAGATGCATATTCAGTGCAGGCGTCTGTATTGGTTTTTGGGTCGTACCTATGAAAGCAAGCATACATGTGGATGGTCAGCCCTTCTGAGTATCAAGGGAGAAACGGGCATCTGGTTCATTTCCGCTTGAAAGTTCTTACCAGGTGCAGTTGCTGCCATAGTTTGTTTCCTTCCAACCGTCATAATCAACGCAACTACGTCCCTCAACATTCTCATAACCTCTCGCCGCGGGGTTCTCGTCACTGGTTCTGCTCCTTTTATGATGACCGGCTCTCATCGCCTCGGGCGGCTTCATATCGAAGGGGAGAACTACGTTATAGTTGGGTTTTTTCTTGCACGATTCACAACAAACGTCTCCGATAGGCCCACGCTGATCCATTCCAAAAGAATCATACGTCTTACACTCCAAAGAATCACTGTACCTTTGAATGGAAGAAACCACAATAGTTTTGAGAATGACTAATGGGAAAAGTTGAAAACTGGAACTTTTCAGGGGAAGCTACTTACGAGCTACAACCGCGGCCGCTTGTGCTCTTCCAGTCTGGATCGTCGACGCAAGGAGCAGCACTTGGAGGACTTGTGGTTGGACTTGTGAGCTTATTGAGATCATTGAGATCATTCAGAAGGTCAACTGACTCTGCATATCCCTCGCACACACAACAGGCTTGGTGGGGAGCCAAGCCGTACGATCCTACAGCTTTCATATTACCCGTACAACTCAATACATCGTACCTATTAGAAAAGAGAGACAGCAACAGTTTAGAGAAGGAGTCCAATGATCTCCTTCAAATGGAATATACTACTCACTTGCTACAACCACTGCCGCTTGGGTCCTTCCAATCTTTTACATCAGTGCAAAGCTTCCCCTCTGGAGTTGGGAGCTTCTCCTTTGTGCCTCCACCACACAAGCAGCAGGCTTCCATGTGAGTTTTGCCATAAGATCCCTTCATTTCAGGGAAACTGCATCGTTTTGTACCCTCGTACCTTTGATAGAAAGAAACGAGTCAGCAAAATGATCGATGGACACACAGATTTCTGTTGAACAACAATACGCACTCTTTGCAGGTATAGCCATCCTGGCCCGCCCAATATGGAACGTCAGTACATTTGAGCCCCTTGCTTTCATACATATCTTCATACCAACCTCTCGCCTCGGGCTCATTGTTTCTCGCCTCATGATGATGGCTGATAGTTCTTGCAGTCTCCGTTCTGGTGCGAAGATTGTTGGAGCGTTCATCACCACGGACGTCATGGGCCTCAACAATAAAAGAACCAACACGGAGGGCCAGAACAAGTAGATTGAGGGTAGCAAGGACCTTCATTGTTTATCACAAATAATCTTCAGTCGATAATCGAGGAAGCGAATGTAGAAGATTGTGATGCATTATGTTCAGATGGGTACCAGTGCTGTATCTTCGAGCGCATGCATCATCATCACTGGATCTTTATTTTGCAGTTTTGGATTTTGTTGAATGACTGCATGATGAAATCGTTTAATTACCGGTAGATAATTGATTGATTTGTATTATATATACGCACGTGTGCCGCGACAGCACGTGCACGTGAGCAAAGAATAATAATACCAAGATTTCCAATTTTTTTGATATAATACAGTACATGAATATTTTTCTACGTGGAAAGTGGTACCGGTACTATACTTTGAACTTCCCCACTGGATCTTTTTGGATATATATGTGTATAATGTCACGGATCGATGAAAGGAGTTCGGGATGGCTTTGGATGACTGCATGGCATTAGCGATGACCACTCAAGACATAGTGCATAGCGATACTCGATACCCCAATCCACTGGATCTACAGTACCTGGTGCGGTACCAGGTACTGATGTTTTGATGGTCGGATTTAGAACAAGAATGGAATCAAGAATCCTTGCAACAGATACAGGACAAGAAGGCAAGGCTGCCATACCGGTATGTAATTCCGGCAGATCTCTCAGGACAAGACAAACAGTGTCCTTTGTGCAATGTTTCTTCTTTGTTCTAACGATGTGATGCTTCTTCTTTTCTTCTACGGCATTGGACTAGGAGAAGCCTTATTTTAATATGTATTTCTATCAAAACAGTAAGGCGGCATCATCATCACCATCACCACCATCATCATCACATCTGAAACACAACTCCAAAATGCAGCATCAAGCAGACCCGCGCCCACCAGCACCAGCACCAGCAAAGCATCAGCCCGACCCTTTCTGTGTATCAATCAAAACACCATTCAAGGACTAAGGGTGCAGTAAGTGTTTATTTTATTGTCTTGTTTGTTTCTGAAATAGCAGGATCCAAAGTGTCGGTGAGCTGTGCAGCAATGAATCAATGAACGAGAATGAGTATAGGTGGCCCAGCTGTTTGAATGCGGAATCTATGTATGTGCTTTGAAAGGACTCACAGCCTTGTCCTGATTATCATTTTGGGAGTCCTTGCCATTACGGCATTATCATTTCCATGTTGCTGCTTGGAAAGATGCGGGGTCTTCCGAATGGACAGAAGTGAATGGATAAAATCGCCATCTTTTGTGCTGGCTTTTGGCTATTGGTTTGGCATGTCTCGCTAGTGGCACGGGAATCGCCTGCTTTTTGAAACATATTTGAATGTAGCTGCCATTATAATTAGCAGTAGTCACGGGCCTGATAGCCCAGAATCAGAACCCTTATTGATCCAGCGGGAATGTCGTGCCATGCTGAACGAGAACTTTGCTCATCTGGCTTGAGCCTTGTCTTTTTGGAAGCGATTGCATTGTATGGATGGATTGAAAGTAAGCTCACAGCTGAGACAGTCAAGCTAATCCGTTTTTAAAAGCTAATCCGTCTTTGAAATCATCAACTAGTGTTGAAGATGTATTTTGAGATATTTGGAGATTGGAGAATGAGGAACAGAAACACGAAACAAGGCATTAGACAATAGGTCATCTTGTGTAAGATTGAACAGTACCTGACAATAATGTGAGAATTATTGACAAGATCAAAGCAAGATCAATACATAAGGAGAAGTGAGTTGAATGTAGTCATGGCAAGATACCAGATGCTGTGCATGACTGAGAAGCAAGACTAGAAAATAGAGTAAGGAATAATTTAGCT